AGTCTACAGTAAGAGAAAAAACGTTTTTTGAAGATTGGTTGGTCTTGTTAGTTAAATCTTACTATATCAGAAACATCACCAGTCGCATGCGTCCTCATTAAATTTTGCATCTTTTCACATGTTTTCTTTCCAAAATAGTGTTTTGCTGGCATTTTTTGAAAAACTCAACGAACGTACCGACCGACCGACCCGAACAGAACAAACACAGGTGATTTTTGTGAGTGTTTCCTTCTCCTACGCCAACGTCAGAACACGTTTCAGAACTAACGTGATACCTTGTTTTTCTATCTGGCTTGACATTGACCTTTTTGGAAAAAAATGCCGAGAGGGTGAAGAAACTAACTAAATCGTTGAAATATGAATGAAGAAGGATATAGAAGAAAACATCGGGATGCCTCCCTGGGTTCAAGAAACTTGAAAATGATTCAATTGGCATTTCCTGATGCCTGTGTGTGTGTCTTGAGCAGATGAAACAGAAAATAGGGAATAAAAATAGGAAAAGCTTATTTTTTCATTGTCTCTTCTCTCATCCCTATTAATAGTGAACTATATTTTTTAGAATAGAAACATTATTGCCATTCAGAACTTTTGAGTTCTAATTAATTTTGAAAATGACTGGAAAAACCTTTTCTGATGTGCAAAAAACATTGAAAAATCGGAAATATGACGAGAAATATTTACGACGGCCCTAATAAAAAGAATTTCCAGTTCCCCTCCACCTGTTCTTGTATGCGTAACTGGAACACTTCTAGATTGGGGAAAAGGAAACAAAATGATGATTTATTGTTATTGACTTCAGAGATCAAAAATGATTAGCGTGCTTTAATTGATAGGTTCACTATCACATTTTTCTATGATTGACAAGCGTTCGGAAGATGGTAGGCATATTTTTCTCTTCCCCAAAGGCAAAGATATGTAATTACTTATACTGCGAATTCTTGAAAAAAGCTTTTTGCATCGGTAATCATCAGGTACGAATTCTTATCAGTTGATATCTAACATCAGAAGAGAAACGAACGCTGGTGGAAATGCAAAACGGGATTAAGATTTTCAAAAAAGCACGGATAGACTGGAACAAAAAAGAATTCCTTTTTTTGAATAAATCTGAAACAAAATGAAGAGGTGTCGACTGAAAGTGAATTGACAAACAACTAGTTTTGGAAGATTGGTGTTTCCTGCATAGAAATCTGTCAGAAAGGGACCTCCTACAAAGTGATCGACGATGTTTTGCGGATAGTTATGACGATAGAAAAACAATGACACAAAACAAAAGTAGCTTAGAGCTGAATTCTGAGAAGAATTCATTTCCTGGCTAGGCGACCCTGTTGTCGAGTCCACGTGGCTATTCACCGACGCAACAACTTTAAGATATTCTGAGGACTTCTAGGCCCAGCCCACTGTGCTTACTCCTCAGAAATCTTCCTATTTCCTACTTTATTCTCTTTATTTTCCTTTGTTTATTAGTCTTTTATTGCTTTCTCATATTCAAATTCCCGCCAATTTTCTCTCTTTTCGTGCAAGCGCGCCCTATCGTTGAGGTCTCGCCACGAAGGGGTTAAAGGCGCACACACACTCGAAACGGGTTTACTGGCCTATTTTTACTCAGATTAACTGAGTCTTACGCAGATTAACTGTGTCTTACGCAGTCTAATTCTAGTCTAGTAGTTAGTGCTGTTCCGTGACGTTTTCCTTCAGTTTGCAAGTCCGTCAATCTCGTTACTCATCATTATTCCTACTATTCCAATACTATAAGACCTCCGGCGATCGCCGATCGCCTTACCGGCCTTATTGGACTATCGGAAACCGCTAATGATGTGAGTTGATATAGATTTACTTCTGAATAGACTAACGGCCAGTTCTGTGACCTGTTTCATGAGTGTTTTCCTTTCAGTGCTCTCATCGTGACCACTAGGAAGCGTGTGCTATTGGGAACTTTGTCTATGAGAAGCGATAAGCTTGTCACCGGTAGGAGAAGGGTTTTTGTTGCCCAAGGCTTTTTGCCCCTTCAACTATTGAGTGATCAGTGATGTCCTTCTCGTCCGTCTCCAAGCCAGCCCGACTCCAAGGAAACCTCTTATTGACGATATATTCTCTTTATTAAATATATACCGCTCAATAAATGGGTCACTGATACTACTGTTGTTATTATTGTTTCCACACCGCTTATCTGCCCGCTCGTCGTCCCACTCCTCGCTACAGACATAACTAGTTCCCCTGTTACCGATGCACTTTCCCCTATTTTACGAGACAAGGAGGTAGCTTGTTTCTCTGGAGCCGTCACGGGGGATCCAACACTCCCCAAGATGACCCCTCTACAGACCCGACCTGGTGTCTGATTTCAAATACAGCTAAATGATGTCTACTGAGTCATAAAACGTTCGAATCGGAGATAAATGTGAAAACAACCACCGTTAGATTTAGTGACCGATTTTACGAATGATGATGATGACATTTGAAATTCGTCGCTCAAAATTGAGGAATAAAAATAATCAGAAAAAAGTAAAAATGAGTTTTTGTTTTTTTCAAAGTTTCCAAACAAAACTAATGTAATTGTTCACCTCTTAAAATTTTAGCACGGGCGACTCTGGCGCTTCTGTTCTCTAAAAGGGTTTGGCACCAGCAAACAACTTTCAATTAGTATTTTCGGGCCAAATGGGAATTTTTCCAGTGAGTAGAACTTTATGACTAAAGTTTGGCAATTCTGAGTGCTTTTATGCTCTTTCAGTTTTTCCAAATATTGAAAAAGAACTTTCCAAAATGACTTTAAAAAATGACTCCAAGATGACTTTAGATGACTTTAAGATTACTTAAAACACCTAAATCAAAGGACACCCAAAATATGTATGATGCTCCCAATTCAAGTTCTCTAATAAAAACGCATACTGTAAAAGATGTCTCAAGAAGGACGCCCTTCAAACTCCAGGGAGTTCTCCTATCAAAAATGCCGTATTATACATATTGTACGGTATGAAAACTACATTATGAAACTTACTAAATATGTTGGCAGTTTTGTAAGTCATTTTTTCGGAATTTATAGATTTTCATCCGTTTTGTAAGTCCATTTCATTTTAGGTTGAAATGTTCACTGTGTGTGGGTGTGTGTGTGTTAGGAAACTCTGTGATAAATTCTGAAAGTTGTTTCCTCTTTTCATTCAAACAGCTCGAACATCATCTTCTATTTTTTACTATTTTGTGATGTTTTACATTATTTTCAAACACAAGTAGGTTTAATGAAATCCGCGGGATCATCCCAAGCTATTATACCACTTATTCATGCAAATAGAATAATTCAAGAATCGGATAATTTTGCTTTTTCTTCTCGCTCAAACAAACAACGTCACCAAATTCAACTATTGCGGAGCTCATCAGTGTTCCACTTTGATCCGATCTTTAGGCTTTGTTTTTAAAAAATTAGGTATTCCAGTTTGCATATTTGTCTAGACCATTTGTGATGACACATTGGTTGATAACTCACCAAAATGATTTCATTTGTAGAAAAATCAGAAAATAAGAAATAGAAAAGAAAGAGCAAGAGGAAGGACGTATAATATTTGGCGAAAAGAATCAGTTGAAATATTCATTTTCTCAGAACAGATATGACGTTAACGAATTTAGACACAGCTGAAACATTTCGACGATGGCGGTGTTATAAGCATATCATTTTCTGAAAGAGTCCTCCACTTGAAACGAGCCAAAGTTCACTCAAAAAAAAGACGGGGGGAAAGTGACGTAGGAGGTCTCCTCTCCTTGAAACAAATATCCATCCGCCGTTGCTCGAAGTAATATGAGTGGGTGGATTATGGCGAAATTAAAAACGAATTTTGTTGTTCCGATGAGACCTTTGAAATGATCTTCTATCAAATTAAAGAAATTTGCTGCAAATAACAGAGCAAATAACAATACCTAGTGCAAAGGACCACGTGACCGATTCGAGAACTTCCAGAAAAGTTTGAAATACTTCGCTTATTCGAAATGGAATGAAATGTTTTCAGAATCATTCTAAAGACTTTATCGGGTCCAATAGTTATGAACGCAGAAAAAACCAAACGTTTTCCAGGTGATTCAAAACTTGATTTGTTATCAGAAAAATTTTTTTTGCACATTTCGTTCCTTATCGGAGAACAAATGACCACTCTGCTACTTATGAAGCTATCAGTGATAAGAGGAAGTGACATCTTGATCGTTTTGCAATTATTCTAGTCACAGTAAGCTACAAACTTCGAAGAATTAGTAATACAGATAAGCTTGAGAACCATCCTGTCGTTGTTGAAATATAATCAAAATAAAATAAAATAATTCATCTAATTTATACATTCTGGAAACTGTCGCGTTTGTTAAAAATAGAGATAATAAAAAATGAAATTGTTGGAAATAAACTCAAACCTGTTTTTTGAGAAGAAAGTAGAGAGACCTGGAACTTCCTTTTTTGAACCGTATCAGACTTATTTGTAGTTATGCTAAATACCATGTCAATATCAGTTGCTGCCAAAGAAAAGTGACAGGTGGTGTATCCTTATGAATTTAACTATGAAATTTAGGTTATACTCTGATACCGAAAGTTCTGGAGACATTGAAAAATGGCCGGGATTATGATATTCTCAATCGCACATCAGTGACAGTTTTTTTTTTAAATTTTAAGTTTTTCGAAACTCACGAAATCTAGAGGGAAGAGTGGGTCTAATCCACATTGAACGCATTGTATGAACGACAACAAAACCAAATTCACTTCCAAATAGAACTCTAAACCTTAACCACTTCCCGAACAACCACTACCATGAAAATGACGAGCCACCCATCACTTTTTCTATTTTTTTCAGCACACGTGATCATTAACTGATAACGCAATACCAACACGTGTAGCGAATGCCTGATAAGAGCAGATCCTACGGTTTTCGCAAACTCAGTTGTCAGTTGAATCGGCACGATGTGGAGGAAAATTTTTGGTAAGTTTCCCAACGCTCACAATCAAACAACCAGTATTTTCCTCAGTGATTTCTTGTATGGCACTGTATGTGCTCGCCACACTTCCCGATATTGGAGCTCCGGGATATTCCTGTGATGTTGACTTGATGAAGAAGAGTAAGAAGGTCCCGACCAATGTGAACTCTGTAAGACCAGCAGATATCAAAGTGATCATGGCTCTTGGAGATTCATTAACTGTGAGTGTGGTATTTCACTTTTTGTCTGCCAGAGGTTCTTTGTGTCAAAAGAGGACCCATTAGAAAAAGTAGGTGCTTCAGAATAATGTAGTAAAAGCACATGGTCCCAAGAAGAACGTTACTGAATTTTTGATAGGTGTACTTTACAAAACAACCTTTTCATGATATGGAATAAATACTGAATTCGTAGACATTTGGTTCAGAACTCTCGCTTTAGTTATTTTTTGACTCCAATAGACCAAATGTATTTTAGGCAGCCAATGGAGCTGGTGCCGAGGACCCTGTGGCAGTTGTTCTTCAATATCGAGGTCTTGCATTCCAAGCCGGAGGCGATAAGTCACTCGACGAGCACGTCACTATTCCAAGTAAACGAGAACTCTCCTCTCCTTACTAATCTGATTTCTCCCCAAAGGTTCATCTGATTAGATACACTTCCTTATTCATTCAGATATTCTCAAAAAGTACAACCCGGACATCTTTGGATACTCTAATGGAATTGGCTCGCCGAATGTTTGGGAAATTGCTCGCCTCAACGTCGCCATGCCCGGCGCCAACGCAAAGGACCTTCCGGGACAGGCTCGACAATTAGTGTCACTGCTTCAACAGCACACTGAGGTTTTTTAGTGAGAGAAAGAACGTATTTTTAGATTCAGCTGTTTTAGGTGGTAAATATGAAGGAAGACTGGAAACTGTTGAACATTTTTATTGGTGGAAATGACATCTGTGGTTACTGTAGGAAGCCAGTGGTATACTCAAAAAAATGATGTTCTAAAAATAAGATGTATATAATTCAGGAGGACTCCCCATACAACTGCGCTCAGAATATCAGTCAAGCCGTCCAAATCATATATGACAACGTGCCCCGAGTGATCGTATCTGTCACTGGAATGTTGCATCTCGAAATGCTACGTCAAACTGATACCGGTCACTGGTTCTGCCAACGTTTGCACCAGTATGTTGCAGTTTTTAGTCTTAAGAGAAAAAAAAAAACTATTTATCGGTATATAAACAAATGATCGTTTGTGTTTGCAGCGATGAGTGCGGGTGCGAGAGCAACAAGAACTTCACTGATGCGGACATTCGACAGGTAGGAGAGGGAAGGAGCGGAAGTAGTGATGTTTCTATGATTAAAATATGTACAAAAGTCACAGAAATAATCAAAAAACGGCAGAAATGTAGTCCAGAAATTAAGGGAAAACCAGAAAAGTTTATTAGTGTCGATTACCTTGCCTTGCAGGCTTGCTACGACTATAACAAGTACGAGAAAGCTTTCGAAACTGCAGGAACTTTCGAGAAGGACGATTTCACCTATGTTGTGCAACCAATGTTCCAAGATACTCTTATCCCACCAATGGAGGTTCGTATTTCAAAAATATTTTAAGGTTTTTAGCTTGGTATACACACTTTCCAGAACGGCAAACCAACACAAAAGTTTTTTGCCCCTGACTGCTTCCACTTCTCCCAATGGGGACACGGTCTTGTGAGCACCTACCTCTGGAACAATATCCTTCAGCCTGTTGGATCCAAGTCTACAGTATCCAACATGTCGGTTCCTCTCCTGCCATTGGCTTGCCCAGATCCGGTAGGACCATATTCGTATTATTATTGAAATAAAATCTGAATTTTCAGGCTTGCCCCTTCATCAGAACCCCAAAGAACAGTCAAGATTGCAGCAATTATATGACCCCTCATGCGTAAACTTTTGCGGGTATTCTATGTAAATGTGTTTGTATCAAAAATGTTCAAATAAAGCATGCAACAATTTTTAAGTGAATAATTTACATAATCGTCTTATCACTGTTTGAAATTGTGATGTTTCTAAAACTACAGAAAGTTTAGTTTCAGTTGGAAAAAGAAGAGGACATAGGAGTATGAATGGTCATTCCGATTGCCTTTGGTTTCGAAATATAGACAAGTTGCAAAGTGCACTTTTTTTTGTAATAATTACGGTTCATCTTTGAGATACTCAGTTTTTGTAATATCTGAAAAGCAAAGTACACATAATCTAAAACACCTAGTACATCCTAGAACAAAAAAATAAATTGCATTTGAAATCTATTAAGAAATTTTGGAAACCCAGGACGCAATCACCGTATTACTGTAAAATGATATTCCCTTGTTTGTTACAGTGTGAACTCATCTAGAAAGTTGTGTTCTCCAGTCATTGTTCATAATTTTCTATTGGATTTTTGACATATTGGATGCGGTAATAGATATTTCAGAGATCGGATTAATTTGATTGCCGATAACCGTTATTTCAGGAATCTTCTAAAATTTCCTTCGATTTTCAAAAAATCCAAAGAACAATCGAATTCCTTCTTTCTCCAGATACCGTCGGATGTCGTTGCCATCGTTTTCGCTACATGCATATATAGTTTCTGTCTCTTTTTTTCTGTCCCCTCTTCTTCTCGGCGGGGCCGTTTTCACTTGCGTCAGAACAGTCATGTATCTATCCGCGCACTGCAGCAGCAGCCTCCGAATGCTATCGGAACTAGACTGCGGGCGCCACATTCTCTCACACACATACGGGAGGGCCACCGTGAGTCAATTTCGTGCGTCTCCTCGTTTTTCATCTCCTTTCTCTCACCAACCCGCAACAGTCGGTCGCCTGTCGGCAGGTTATCATAAATGCCTTTCATTGCCTCCCGTGTTTCTATCCTTACTTTTTCTATCCTAACCTCTTCAAGGCCTTCTTACTTATTTCACACTATGAACTGAAAAAGGATTAAAGATATTAAAATGATACTTTTTGATAAAGAAGAAAGATGAAAATTGACTTTATTTCACCAATCAAGAATTCTATCAAACTTTGGCTACTGATTGATTTAATTACTAAAGACAAGTGACCCAAATATATTGAATTTTGTACAGATCATTTTGTAAGTCTCAATTCAGCCGCGTAATTGATAACAAACATCAAACTTTGAATTCTTTCTTGCACCGTATTCTGCCAAAATCAGAATAATTCTGAGCAAGTTAGTATCAAACATTCGCGACTTTTTGGAAAGTTTTGACAAAATGTTTTTCAGTGATTACTGATTTCAGAATCGATTTTGAGCATAAAAAATAAAACATTCTGAGCAAGTTTAGATATGTTGAAACAGAAGTTCTCATTCTTTATTTTTCTTATTAAACTGATATGATAGAGTCTGCATAGCTTTATTTACCGGTTTTTGCAAAACCTACGATGTCATGAAACAATTCTGCAAAGCCTCGAAAGTTTTATAACATTGGTTTCCGTTTTTTTTCGAATTGTCCATCTCTTTATGCCCTAAAGATGGATTTCTTCGCGTTTACAAAATGATAAGTTGACAAGCTCAAAATACTTTGAGTTCAAAACTGTCAAAGACAACAGGTGTCATTACGAAATTATTAGGTTGGCGGGAAAGTCTTTGTCACTCTGTTTGTTTAATCACTGTTCTCGTATATGGAGGCTGTGTATGATATCGACTCTAGTGAATAACAAGGTGATAAGAACCTTCCATATAAACAAGTCCCCATTTCCTTCCCTGCTCCTCATCTGTAATTGAAACGATATGTTTGTTCCCACTGCTATTCACATCAGACATGTTTTGATTTACCTCTTCCTATCTCACACCACGATGAAGGATTCGGAAACTTTCTTGAAGAATGTGTACAACACACATGCCCCTCACTACAATACTATTCGCAATTGGTTCCATCGTTTCGAAAAAGATGACTTCTCGCTCGATGAAAAGGATCGCTCTGGGAGACCCCGTGAGTTGGATTTGGACAAGCTGAAGCACGCATTGCAATCGGATCCATTTCAATCTAGCCGTGAACTAGCTGTCACATTCGGAGTTCACCATAGCACAGTCCTTGAAGGTTTGAAGTCTCTTGGAATGAGAAAACTTTTTGGTCGATTCATACCTCATCACCTGACTCAAGCCAACCTTGACCGCCGAGTCGACGATTCGATTACTCTTCTCACTCTCCACGCGGGCGATCGATGGCTGGACCGGCTAATAACCGGAGATGAGAAGTGGGTCTTCTACGATAATCACCACAGGAAATCCCAGTGGGTTGGAGAAGGAGAGAGCCCACAGGATGTCCCCAAACCCGGCCTTCATCCGAAAAAAGTTATGCTCTCTGTGTGGTGGGGAGTGGACGGCCCCATCTACTGGGAACTTCTGCCCGAGGGCAAAACAATAACTGGAGACCTCTACACTACTCAACTACGAAACCTCAAGAAAGCAGTCGACCGTTCGGCCCTGAAAGACAAGAAAGTGTACTATCAACATGATAACGCTCGCCCACATGTTTCGAAACAAGTGAAGCAGGAGCTGATGGGATATGGATGGAATGTTCTCCCTCACCCCCCGTATTCTCCTGATCTTGCTCCTTCCGACTATTGGTTATTTGGCGATATGACACGTGCCTTCGAAGGAAGAAGCTTCAATTCCCGTGGAGCGGTCGAAGCGGCACTCAAACAATACTTTGCCTCACGCCCGGCTGGATTCTACCGCAATGGAATCCATAAATTGAGGGAACGTTGGAGACATGTTGTTGATAATGATGGACAATATAATTAATTATTCGGTTATTTTTTCTTTGAGAAATAAACTATTGAAAAAGTGACAAAGACTTTCCCGCCAACCTAATACTTGGGTGTAGCTGTAAAACTTTTGCAATATATAGCAGGCGGAAATCTTGTCAAATCTTTGACTTTAATTATCAAATTGCAGCTCAAACGATCCTTCCTAATCTTCAAACGACTTTCTTGCATTTTTTACCCAGTTCTTCATTACTCATCGTTACTACTTTGTTTCCCATAGGTTTTCCAACTTTTGCTTCATTTGCCACAATCACCAGTACTCTTTGGCCAACGCTACCCATTCTCTTCCACTTGTCTTTGTCAACTTTTCTACGCCCCTCGATTCCCTCATTGAATCTTTTGGGTATTCCCAAGTGAGCTTCTTTTCTTGGACATACACTGTGAGGTCCCCTTCCTTTCACTTTTCGGACCCTCATCCTCTTCCTTTATTCTCTTCATATTCGATTAGACCGATTGGTCACTTGGCCCACCTCTCTCTTGCCTATTCTGTGCACTAACAAATACCCATTTGGCTTTCTCTCTCTCTCTCTTCTCGAAAGTACACCTAATTTCTTGGGCGTGCACTTTGAATGTCCCGTTAGTACTTGCTCTATCGAAAATACATTGGTGCCAGGTGACGCTGGCCCCCAAAACACATCACATTATTTTCAAACTTTGATACTCTCTTTTTTCTCAATCTGTTTTGTTTTTTGTCTCGTCCAAAACGTCAGTTGCAAGGTGGTGCTAGGAGACAGCGAAAGTAGGTCGCACGGAATCGGCGGAAAATACGAGATGCTCTTGGAGTCCACAATGTGTTAGGCGACGAATACTACCATTATATATTTAGTTTTTCGGCGGATACTAAAACACATTTTGGAGCTTGTTGTTCCGGATCAGTTTTTTTCATTTTTCTCATCTAGTAGAATTTCATTGGTTTTTGGCATGATCCATATTTGAAATGACCTAACATAGAGCGTGATAATTAAAGTTATTTTGGGAGGTACTGTACTGTGATGATTCTCGAGAAAGACTGTTTCACGATAGAAAGAAAAAAGGCCCATTGTCCTGTCGCGCCTAAAAAGATTCTCCAAATTGCAACCACTTTTCTCTATTCTTTTTTTTAGACACATTGTTTTCACTCATGACGTTTTTTTTCTTGTGTAGTCTTTTACAGCAAATTAACCAACCTGCCTTTATGTTTTACACCACAACTGATAACAGGTTAACTTTTTCGAGAAATTTCGTATTGGTCATCTTGTCATAGTTAGTGTTTCTTTTTTCTGCAATTGTTTTGGGTTGTTTTGAAAATCTTAGTGTTTGAACACGTAGATTCAGTAGATATGTATGTTTGCTCTCTGCTTTTCACTATTTTATGGGAACAAAACAATAATGAAGTAGTTATTTTGAATCAAAATGAGTCCACATTTTCATTCTCTCTTTTTCATTTTTTCTTTCTATTCCAGAGAATGAGAAAAAAAGAGAACACACAAGGTACAGGATAGCAATTGTCGGATGGAATAGCAAACTTTAAAAAGAAAGAATTGAAAAAGAGAATTATAGATATATACATTAAACAAAACGGGCGGCAGCGGCGGCACAAAGGTTTCAAATTTATCACTACTTGGCCGCTTACGGCGGGAGGGCAACGGGTGTCGAAATGGCATTCGTTGCCTATGGTATACTGAACTTTATTACCTTGCAAGCTTGTCAGGTTTTCTATTTTAGCTACTCCTTCTGGGATTTCACTAAATCCAATTGCAAAGAAATGAAACAGATAACGGATCACTTTCAGATTTGCACTGTTTTTACATTACTACCAATTATTTCCTACTAAAGAGGTTCAATTGAACGGAACCCAAGAAACCAAATTTTCAAATTTTGCTTTTTCGCAAGACCATGTTTAGTAACAATAAGGAACCCATGCCAGAAAGGGTAATTGTTTTCGTCAATGCTTTTAGCTTCATTTGACCATGAAATGATCACTAATAATCGATCAGTGATTTATCCCGTCATACAATTTAATTGCAAGCGTTCATTAACAAAACGCCTCCATAAACAATTATTCATTCCGCATGAGCAATACTTTTTAGTGACGAAATTAAGAAACAGAACATTTCTCACTTTTTCAACTTCCAGCACTAAAATGTTCGAGTCACTTACAGTAATCTCATCCTAGCAAGACTTCGATTATCTGTTTTTTTTTCTGCAAACGTTATCTGAGCACAACATCCAATCGTATGCTTAACGATACACAACACATTCTCTTTATTTTTCTAGAAGCCCCGCCCATTATAATCCCTACCTATGAGAGTGAATAGAAGCACTCTCAACACATTATCCATCAGTTCACTCTCGCTCTTGTCTCATTTAGCCAACTGCGGTATATGCACATACAATTAAACAATAGCTGACGTCATAGCGATCGTTGGACGGACTTTTGTGAACAAAGGGACCCCATCGCAAATACATAGACGAGGTTGTGTGTGTGTTTTTGGTGAGTGTTTTTGTTGCTTTTTGAGTGGGGAGAGATATTGATCATTTGATAAAAATTGATTCACCAAAAGCTCCTTGAATAGTTATTCCGAAATTTTAGAACTTTAGGCAACTATCTATGCACCGCACTCTCGTCGGTTTTTGAAGAATTAAGCTGAGAAAATTTGAAAATCAATGCGATTCCTGGCTAATCATGAGAATGAAGATCTAGATAGATCCTTAGATTTTCCGACAACCGATTCCACACAACCTGCAATCTGTTGAATGGCAATTAATTTTTCTGACCGTCCCTAACTTCTTATCTTTTCATTTCAGGTCTTTATTGGTCACTCGTAAAAACTTCAAACTTTCTGTCGTTTCCCTTCATTTTGTATTGCTTTATTTCCCCTTAAAATGATTTTCACAGTCAGCTAGGCTTAATTCAACATAATCAGTTGTGTTACCGCCTGTTTTTGGAGTGTGGGCCTAGAACAACCCCTCGGCACGGTATGTCACAGACACATACCCAACACATACTCACAAGCACGCAGACAGGCAAAAAGGCACACAAACACAACACTGTACACACGTACCTTCATACTTCTCTTCGTCTATCTCACTCATTCCACCAATTTCTCCATTCTTCTCTTCTTCTTTTTCTTCTTGTCCCACCTTGTCCTCTTTTTTTTCCACCTCCTACTCTTTTTCTACTTGTTCTTCTCATTTTCTCACCACTTTTCTTCTTCTTTATCTTCTACCACCAAAGATTTTCACTAGTCTTTTTTTTGTTTTTTAACACCCGTTTGTCCTTGTGCCCTTTGAGTTTGTAGGGCAAAAATATTTATAAAAATTGCCTCCCGGAAAACTCAAAATAAAATATAAGGCAGGGAGCGTGATGTCTTAACAACCGAATGTCCTCGATTTGAACTTCTAGTCCTGCTAAGTTGTTTAAAAAAGTTTTTATGATCCAACGATTTAGGTCGTAAAATTCAGCGTATTAGCCTAAATTGACCATTCAAAAACAAGCTTCTTTAAAGTTCATAACAGTTTGAAATTAACCTCTCTAGATTAGTTTTGGAATAGAAACCTAAAAAAGTGTAAATTACTGAATTCCAATCTTTCGGCTAATTAGGGAATTTCATTTTCCACATTGCTGCAATTATCTATATTTTGTTATTTTTTTTTGAAAATTGTTTTTTTGAAAAAACAAGGAGTGCTTTGTTCTCTTTCAGCAAACTCGTGCATTTCCAGTGCTTTCTTATCAAAACAAAAATATCTGCACTAATAGGAATTGCCCAGTGAACGTTTGTTTTTGTTTGATCTAGAAGTACCGTCTCTTTTCTGAATAATGTCAGAAACCACAACGTTTGAAAGTCTATTTAATCGAAAAATTTTAAATATGTAGTCGAAAAATTGTTCTTATAATCTAATGCAGATTATGCAATACAATCAAACAAAGTGCTCTCTTCCTTTTTGAAATCCAAGTATCCCTTTTTCTCATTCCCTAATCCGTTGTTGGATTTGAGCCAAAGGATCACAGAAGCATCCGTCTTGTACTCCCTTTTCAGTGAGAACTCCACTAATAATATATTCCATGCATACTTTCTTTTGTCCTTTTCCTGGAACTCTCTGGTCACGTCTTTGAACTACCATAACATTAGTCTAACGCTTTTGCCCTTTACCGGAAACAAAGTGAAAAAAGAAACAGGAGAGATTCAACCAAAAATAGATGGGGTTCTCTGGTTTTAACATGTCTCAGAGGCTGGACACGTACTTTTTGGGGTTTCTAAAAAGGAAATTGAATAAACAGTAAAGTGCACAAGATTCCCTTTAGAATAAAGTTCTCATGAACTGTTCTGGAATTCACATATTTCTCGAGAGGCTCCAATTTCAACAGCTGCACTTCCTTGTCACCCTTTCCACGCGATGTCCATCTCCTTCGTCTTTTTTTCTGCCATTGTCCACCACAACCACCACCCACCAACACCCATCGTCTCGTTTCTATATCGTCTCGTCGTCTCACAATGTCCACTGCTCGTTCTCCACCTCTTTACATAGCGCGCAACATTTGGAAGAGAGGAGAAGGGTCATCTTGCATCATCATAGTTGTGAGAGAAGTAGGGGAGGGTCCACCAATCTCAATCTCTCGCTTCCTCTTCTTCTACCCACACAAACGCACCCACGTTCGTCCCTACGTCCACCCAAGACCGCCCGCTCGGGAGGCACCAGCTTCCCGGGAAACAGATAGAGAGAGAGAGAGAGAGAGAGAGAGAGAGAGAGGGGGGGGGGGGCTTGCCCTCTACAAGATTTGACATCCCTTGTTGCCTCCAACTACTTCCTAACAGCTAATGACCTTCAGTAGGCAGGTGTCTCGCAATTTTTGAATGGCGCCCAGAGTGTAGTACGCAGATTCGAAAAACCTGAAGCCCCCAGAAGCTAAGTGTATTTTTATCCATCGGATATGCCCCTGATGTCCATCAGGTGCTCACACTCTCAGTGTTTTTGTCAATGTCATTGAGTTAGTGTGCAAGTGAAAGACTCCTATCTCTTTTCTCGAATAGGCCCACCCCCTGAAAACCAACTTCTTTCTTTTTTTCCCGCGCCTATCTCTCGATTGCTTTATATCTCAGTTTTTTTCGCGCTTCTTTCTCTCCGAGTCTCTTTCCTGTTCCATCATCACCATACAGCACACCGGAGAGAATTGCGAAATAGTTAGTCGCTGCATGTACATGTAATTCCTATATAAACACCTTTCAAATGTAATTTTCTTTGCGCGCCCGCCCCGCTCGCCATCCCTAGGAGGTCCACCTCTTCCTTTCTCGTCGCACGCGCTCGTTTTTCTCTCTGTCTTGTTAACTAACTAACTAACTAAGCCAAAACTAGTACCTGTTGGTGGGAGAGAGTGTTTTTGTTTTGTTTTATTCTGAAATTCCTCTTTCGATTCGGGAGAATCAAAGTTTCACTTTTACAATACAGGTTTTCAAAGTATTTCCAGCAAAAGTGAAACGTTCAAAACACCATATCAAAACTGAACACTTCAAAAACCTCAGTTTCTAGGTTGCTGTGCTGTTAAGAATACTATGTCTTTTTTCTTTCTTCCAACTTCTCTTTCTTCTTCTTCTCTCTTTGCTCTCATCACATCCTCACTTTTTATATTTTCATTTTCGTTTTTGTGTCCTCACACCAAATGCTTTCAAACCTCTGAACTAAAAACGTTTTTATTTCAGGTAGTCGTCAGACTCCTCTAAACTCTGGTGGTTAGATTAACCGTTTGGACACCTTTCCCCGCGGATTGGTTGGATTTGCTTCTGGCTTTTGGATTTGGCTGGAAAGATGATGACTGGATACGGTTATAACTCAAACCTGGTTCAGCAACCACCAGTTCTTCAAGGGTGAGTCATTCAAGAATCCATGAATGTTTTGACAAATATATTTGCCATAGCAAACAGTTCCAGGGTAGTCATATTTCTAGAAACATAAACAATCGCTTGCCCATTCTCGAAATCTCATCTACCGAGAAAAATTGCTTATTTAAGAACTTGGTCACCTAGATTCAAGAGGTTTTCTAACATCTATTTCGAAACTTTATATTATTAATTTTATAAAGTTTCTAATACTTCGAATAGTCGGATTTTTGAAATAATGTCTTGTTTTTCAGAGTCGACGACACCTGGGGACAAGTCGCAGGACAATCGCAGTACTATCAGTCGGAAAGTGGTGCCACCGGACTATCTAATCCCATGTTTTACGGGTCTATGGGAGGATGGTATCAACCACCGCCAAACTTAAACTTTGATGGAGTCACTGAAGACGTTGGACCAACACCAGCGCCACCAGTAGCACCACCACTCCAACACCACCACATCACCATGATGCCTCCTCCCGGTTTGGCACCACCGCCACAGCCGAGAGTTTCGATTTCGGACGAGGAACTGTACCAGGCGTTAAATATGTCACCGCTTCCGTTGATTTCTACTGGATATCATGCTCAGCATCAGCAGCAAAAACAGCCACATAGCCAGGCAATGTTGTCACAGCTTCAATCACATCCACAGCTAGGTGAGGGTTCAAAGAAATGGATTATGTAGCGAACTCAGTGTTTTCAGACTATCTTTCGTCCGAAGTCTGCTTCCCATCTTCTTCAACGTTTGACTCTTCAGGATATAATAATCTCAGCTTTTTGGGACCCATCTCAACACTTCAAGGGGAAGACCATCATAATTACCAACATGGCAACGATGGTGATGACGAAGAATCGTTTGGAGATCCTGATAGATTTGAAACAATGTCTCCAACGTTTTCATTTCATTCTTGTGCTCAAACAGCATCCACCAATAACGCTGAGGATTTGGAGGTAATTTTTTTGTTAGATCTTTGTAGTTACTCCGTTATTCTGGGTGTATCAATCAGACAGCTGTAATGTCAGCTTTTCTAGTGACGTCAAAAATCTTGGCACGGCGCCAAAAGTTTGTTTAGTTAGCAGCCGTTTTTTCCCTATTTCTCTCGTTCACAATCTAATATTTTGTTGTTGTCATTTGAAAAGAGGAGAAGAGGAAAAGCACAGGGGGTACACACCGAAAATGTTTTTTTCTAGACCCAGACTCCTAGTTCGTTTTCCTCCTCGTGGTTTCGCAGTTTAGTTATTCTCTACATTGTACCACTACTGTCCTAGGTCCGTCGGCCTGCCCTGGTAAACAAGGTCTCCATTTTTTGAGCCCTCTGTGTTGTGTGTGCTCCGAGACTGATACAACAACAAAAATAGAAAAGGGGCAGGCTTTGTCGCCAAAATATTTTGTCTTGAATAGGGGGTTATGTCCCTTTTGTTGTTCCCAGCTGAACCACGAAAGCTATATACTACAGATGGGAATCTCGTCTCCAGAAATATATGGAAATCTTGAAAATAAGTGTTTCAGGTTGAACTGATCAACAACCACAAGCCGACGCCGCGCTACCAGATCACTGATGATATCGACATGTTCCTCCATACCGGCACTACTGACACAACGGAATACCAAGACGACAGTGATTCGAGGGTAGGTTTTGGTAGGGGGGCAATGTCTTAGAAAACAATAGGGGGATTAGAATGACCTCTACGCGAATAGAGATAGAAGGGAAGTCTCTTTCTTATTGCCAACGCACACACGCACTCATACACAGAGAGACACACATACTCGTTCTGCCAGCACCAACGATTATCGATTTTTGGAGTTTTGAATCACCTTGGTCGGCCGAATGCATGTGTGCGTCTGTGTATTTGCTCGGTATCACTTCATTTTTTTGCCGATTCCACCATCAGGTGTCGACCACTTTTTTCTTTTTTTTTTCTCAGTTTTTAGCTGCGGGGGTGTACGAAAAAATTAGAAAACAAAGAAAACAAAAGTAACACATCTGGTTCTTGACGGATTTTGCGTCACTCTAGTAGTTATAGAAATCTAGGGGAATGAATAGAAAATTAGAAACTTCAAAAGTGAAGAGAACGTGACAAAATCATTTCTGAAATAATAATGAAAATACAAGAGCCAGAAAAGGGAGAAAACAAAAATCACCCGCAGGCTTTTTTTTGTTATTTTCATTGTTCCTCGCACTTTCTGTTTGACGCTGCCATTGTGTTCCCACATAGATTTGTGATTCCGCTTGCTCATTGATTTGGTTTCCTGTTTTCAGCTCAAAATATCGAACAAAATTTTCAGCCGACTACTACATTTTCCCATCGCAGCCAAAAAGCATCATCTCCACCGTCATCGCGTCCGGCGTACGCGCAGAAGCTCACCGCTGCCAGAGCTCAAAAGTCATCGGAGTCGCAACACCAGCCACAGAACACTTCTAACATTCTGTCGCCAGTGTCGAAGACATCACCACTCTACTTGCAGACTAATTCTCAGGATCCAGCTGGATTTACGCCTCGTAAGTGATGATCGGGGGTATGAGTGGAACTAGCATCTCTTTTTTGATGAAAATTCTAATTCAGGATTTAACGTGAACCTATATTCAAAAGATTTTTACTTAAATTTATTGCTCACTCTTAAATAATATTGTGACGAAATGCTAGACACTACACATACCCCCTGCCTAAAAATCACTATCACATAATTTCTTCATAAGTTAAAATCGAGTCATGAGTCTAAACATGTCTTAATTTCTTATTGTATTTCAGTGCTCACCCCCAACTCGGACGCACTTCTCCAGAAGAAATTGAGTGAGGTTGTCCACAAACCACCCACCCGAGCCATTGGTGTAAACGCGTATCCGGCATTCCCCTCACACCTTGGTTTCCAAGAAAACCAAAACTACGGCTCAGCTTTCGTCGACTACGCACCACAGTCATCGTCGGCTATCGCCCAACCAGAGTCGGAGTTCTATCCAGATAGCAGTCTGAACACTCGATTCGGTAAGAAGATCGTGAATGAATTGAATGTAAGAAATAGTGTATTCATGTTTTCCAGATTACGATACCGATCGAGACTTGCTCCCACTTCTCCTTGACACCTTCAAGCCACTCCCACCACCTGAAATTTCAACTGTCCCTGTCATCGTTCCAGTCACTGTACCGGAACGTCTAACCTCTACAAAGAAGATCCCAGCACCTTCAGCACCGATAAAGGTCCCTCGTCTTTCTGACCAAGAACTCGAGTCGGAGAGTCAGAAGCTTGCCTTGGACGTCATCTCCAATTTGTTCACCAACAGAAAGGAGATCATTAATCGTGCGGAAAAGATCTACGCCCCCAAGAAGCCAGTAGCCAGAAACTTGTTTTGTCTCGATCAGGAAAGTTTGGATAAAGCGAAATCACAAGAGCCAATCACGATGAGCGTATTGGACGACTGGGAGACTGCCGATGATGATGATTTGACAGTTCGTATGGAAAATCTGCTCAAAGACAAAAAGAAAGAGGAAGTCAAGAAAGCCGCCATGACCAAGACTCCGCTGTCGCAGTCGCCAAGAATCACTGATTGGGATTCAACATTCCTACCGCATGTACTGGAAATTTATGGAGTTCCAGACTACAAAATGCAAGAAGATGTCGTTAAAGCAATGGAGACTAGCGGAAATGGAGACTGCAAAGTGATGTGGATGGAGCGAAAAGTTGTTTTTGCGGTTTTTGAAAGTGTGAACCGGGCCAAAAACTGTTTGGCGCTTTCGAAGCACGACTGGCTCCGATTCAGAAGTCTTGCGGATTCTCCAAAGACGGTTCAGGACTCTGCGAAGCAGCATGCATCTAGTCTCGGGATTCCAAAGTGAGTTTGATGTGGTTAAATTGAGATTTTATAGTCCTACTGAGGCAACTTTTGAACTTTCAGTCATGAAATTCTGACATCAAAAATGAAGTTCTGACATGAGTAATCCTCGCTTTTTCAGGAAGAAACAGCAAACCACTGCCACCGTCGCACGTCGTATGGTCGAAAATGCTCTTGGCAAAAAAGCTACAGTATCCACTGAGAAGCGACAAGAAGAGCGAAACCAGCTTGCAGCGGCCAAGGCAGCCAAGAAAAGCTCTATCCAATGGGATTAGATGCTCGAATTCCTCTTCTCACAATTTTTTTCTTGCAAAACTAGTCACAATTTCTTTTCCTAGCTTACCATTTTCTCGTTATCTTATCCATCCCAACCCAAAAAAAAGACGTATCGGATTTAAAATTTGCTCTCTTTTCTACCGAACGTCCAAACATTTTCGAAAAAAAACCTTCCTGACTGTTTAGGTTTCAGACTTCACTCGATCGAAGAATCCATCAAATTTATTCTTTGCTAAAAACCTCTCACATTTGTTGAACTGGCTGACCAAAGCAGCCACAAAAATTACATAGAAAACTTTCAGACTAGATTCAATTTATTTCAGTATCGATTAGAGCGTAGTTGCAACCTGATAGCAGCAGGACAGTTCACCCACTAGATGAAAACGCCTCTGTCACACCCTTAAACACCTTTTCTTTTTTTAATTTCACAACTCAAAACCCTCATCATCACTTGTTACTCATTTTCTTTTGTTTCTTGTAGGCTCACAGTTTTTGTACTGCTCAGCAGCCCACCCAACAAACATCATCTCTGTAAAAAACCAAAAAAAGTACATAATCACAAAACCACTCAAAAAAAAAAAGAAACGAACCACCGTTACTAGATCGAAACTGTTGTTTTCCAAATTTTTTTTGTTGTTCAGATGGACTGTCGAAAAATCGAAAATGCTCATTTTCGCGATGTGCTCCAAATCTTTCCCCTTTCTCATCATACATTTTTGATATCATCATTCTAGTATGTTTGAATTTTTTTTTGACCTTCAGTTTTTCAACTCTTTTTTGCGACATTCGTGATCCTTCTCATCATATAATCCACCGAATTAAATCCTTCAACTTGAAGACCATATTAATATTGGAAGTTGTATTCCCCTCCCACAAAAATGAAAGTATTTATATTGACGACACTGCTCTCAATACATAATAATTTAAATTGTATTTGTAACTAATGTCGGTTCAATAAAATGTAATTTGTATTTTTTTTTGCACTATCAGAAACCAGACATGAATTACATTTGAAACTTACAAAACCAAAATCGTTTTCACCAGCTGGTCGGAGATTCAAATTATGAAACGTTTAAAATTGATTGATGAACATATTTATACTAGCTTAATTATCTCTTTTAGATAACCGTCTCCAACGTAAGAACCACATCGCCTAACGATATAGGACATTCTTGTCCTTATTATTCTCTTTATTGCCGTGATACCTGTATCAGAAAGACGGGTTTTTCTATTGCTCCAATAGACCACCGGAAAATTCTTTTATAAACAAAGTGTTTGCAAGAAAGACTACTTCAACAATTTTTTGTGAAAGTATGGAATTCCCAAAATAATCTTCAATGAAAATGTACAGAAGTATTCAGTTTCGAAAAACACATTTTAAAAAGGGGCCACTCTATTATAGGGCCGCTTACATTTTTCTATGCTTTTCTCGGAAGACTCTTCTACTTAAAGACCCATCCCAATACAGGTTTTACGATATTTTTTCTTTTCCCGTTAGTAAGTTTATGGTTCAAACTGTTCGGGAATGTTTCTGTCATTGTTTTTGGATTGCTTGTGCAGATAGTTGCAATTTATATCAGTCTGATGATATCTTGTCAGTTACCTCATTTTGTGACGTTTGTTGAACGGAATACAGATTTTTCAAAATGACGTGATTTCTCGATTAACCTTGACAAACAAATAAAAAAACATTCAAAACACTTTTACTATATTTTTTATCGTTTTATTCAGAGAATTCGACCACAGCAGACAAATTTTCAATATTATGTTTGCACTCTTCACGAGAATATTGCTCCAATTGTGTTTCCTGTTTACAAGAATTGTGAATCCCTGCTCCATTATTTGGGTTCTCTTTTTCATTCCATATTTCCGTTTTCCGGATGATTGGAAAACAAGAATAAAACGTGAATACCGGAAAAAAAGATGAAAGAAATAGATGGGAAGAAGTCCAGAAGTATCTTTTCGATTGACCCTGCCACCAGTTCCTCATGAATTTCTAATTCTTTTTATGAACCCTGTGGTCCTTGAGCTTTTGGGCAGTTTGTTTGTCTTTGAGTGACATTCAGACATGATATTTGAGAAAAATACATTCAGCGAATACACTGGAATGAATAAAATATTTACAGAGAAACCACACGTGCCAGTTAGTTATTGTAGAAGATTTGAAAGCATACGAAACGAGTTTTCAGCCATTCCGTTTTACTTTTCTATCACTATTTTCAATTACCTCAAAAATGAGATTTTCTTTGAATCATTATGCACTTTCTTTGAAAGCACATATTGGTTGCTCTCAATTACCCTATATTCAGCCTCTTTACTGAAAAAGGTAAACATCAGAAATCTCAAAATTCTAAGATTCTTTTTATTTCAAAAAGAAAAAAGTCTAGACACACCACGATCTGAGATTCTTGAGATTTCAAAGTGCATGTCTTATTATTTCGCTACAAAATTTTATTGCAAAATATAGAAATTTGCTTTTGTTCAAAAGTCTTATTGTCCCTGTTCTTCCTTGCGTGCCTTGGTTATTTAGTCAGCAGGATCAAAAATAATTCTATCCTATTTGTTTAGGAAAAATACCGTATACTCGGAACTCATTTCGCTACTCAGTGTGAACTCGATTCTCTGATTGATCATTGTTCTTCTCATCAGCTCAACATTCAATACTCTAGATCAAATCGAATTTTCGTTTCGCTATTCAAATTGCTCATTTTAACATACTCTTCCGTTTGATCAGAAAATTATGAAACCCGAAAACCTTTAGAATGATAGATCGCAAGTCTCAGGTCTATTAGAATCGAGTTTGAAAAAACTTTAGCTTCGACATTCCCTGAAATGTACTTATAGCCAAAGGCAGCCCTTTGACCGTTACCGTCCTTTTTTCTCTCCCCTCTTTCTCGCTTAACTAGAACAAGTTGTTCATTCTTACTTTCTACAAACTTCACGGTCACTTGTACGCGGCGTTTGCTTCTTCAAATCTTGGGTTGAAACTAGAGAGAAGAGGGTCCGAGACACTAATCGTGTATAGCGTGTCCACAACGCGCTCTCTTCTGTGTGTGTGTTTCGAAATACTGAATGAGTGCCCCAAGCCAGTGCCGTTGCTCATTGCCTCGTCCGTCCACCACCGCTCCGAGCTTCTCCGCCGCCTTCTTCTCCACCCGTCCAGTGTTGCCCGTGGCTTTCTGCGGGCGGCCCTACTTCTTCTCTCCATTCTTTTCCTATTCTCTGTCTTTCTTTCGCCCGAACGATCGTTTGGCGGTTTTAGTGTAGTGTGGTTATAGGCAGTTACTGGCTCCGAGTATCTTGGTTACTTTTTTCCTCAGTCGGAGCTCAAAGAGCACAATGTTTTTTGTTGTTTCGCTGCAGGAAGGAGTAAAAAACGTCCTAAGCCGAAATCCTAACGTTAACATGTACGTTTGCTAAAGAAAACCTCCGGAAAATATTTCAAGTGCTTCGAAATCCTTTTCTTGTTTTTATTATTTTAGACCAACCGCTCCCACTCCTCCTCACTGATTCTATTTTGGAAATTCAATTTCCATTAGCAGTATCCCGCCATAAAATAAATTGGAAAAAAGTTTAAAGTTCGTCGCTTCGTTTTCTTTCCTCATACCGATTTATTCCAAAAATAATAATGTTTGCGTCCCATGATTCACCAACAACATCTATTTCAGTCCTCACAACAGCTCTAGGCTCATTGCAGTTTTTATCCAATCTATTGTGCCAAGTTTCTTTTCCTGCCAATATAATTTCCTCTATCTTCCGATATCTTCTGGTTCTCGAAAAAAAATTCTCACCAAAAATAGCTTTTTCTGAATAGATTCATGGTTGATTTTCTCGTGACTACTGCTCGGCAAGGCTACTTGTGTTTATGCCAAGGCTCGACGACTATATATTTTTTGACTGGAATATTTATGGGAAGTGGGAAAGAAAAAACAGAGCAGAAGTTTTCTGTTATTTAATTTTTTGTTTTTACGACCCCTGAAAAATAGTATCAACAATTTGATTGAGCATACTGTACATATCCTTATAAATACATTTTTTCTACAGTCAGAGAAAAGTAATTTTTTGCTCAATCTCAGGGCTCAATCTCAAATCACTTAACTAGCAAACAGAGTATTTCTAATTTTAATTTCAAAATTTTTTGTTTTTCTTTCAGTCATTCCAACAAAGAAAACATTCTCCCTCTTGAAAAGCTGTAGCAGTCCTTCCTACACAATACGAAAACGTGACATTTTTCCCATTTTGGCTTCCTCTTTCTTTCATAATTGGAGGGTTTGTGGTGGTTGCGTGACATTGTGAGTCTAAGTGTGTTGAGTGCACCATGACGACTTCGTTTTTCAAATCCTTGGTTCCTTGGCGTGCAGTTGTCAGAGGGCACAAAAACATGAGATCGTTTTGTGATTTTTTTTAAAGAAAGAGAGCAAGATGAGCGTTTTCTCGTCCCCCTGTCGGCCTGTTTTCCTCATGTTCGTCGGAAGCCTAGAGAACAAAAAATGATAAACTAGGTGGTTTTTACGCTTTCTTAACGTGTCATGTGCTACGTTCCCCCAAGTCAGCCTACTACCCCAAAACGCAAATGTTTACCACCTTCTCACCAACTCGTGTTTCTCTGGGAAACGTGCCAATGGCCAATTTCAACACATGTTTTGTTTGCTTTTCTGCTAAAGAAGAAGCAACCAAAGGAAGGTTATCAGTTTTTTTTGGCTTCTGCTATCCACACAGTTTTCTTTCCCCCTCGGATTTGTTTCTAGTAAATAACAGCACTTCCTCTAGAAGTTTCGAAATAAAAGAAAAATCTCATTGAGCTTTTTCCTCTTTTTCTTTCATTACCTCCTGAAAACAGTGTTGTCTTTGTTGGTGTTTATTTCAAATTAAGTAAATAACTGGTGGTTTCTGTTGTATCAACAATAAAAAAGCATTGAAATGCACTTCTTATCTCAATTAGTAGAACATCAACAAACGGTCTCTGATGTCCGATAGAAAACTATAAAATCAAATAGATCAGAAAAATGATGTGGGTGAGGTCATAGAATAAGTTCTCACAATCCGGGCACATGACTTTTTGTTATGTAGAGAACCTGCGAAACAATTGGTATGCTTTTTGCATATATTTGTCCAAAATTCAGTATTTTATTGTGTTTGAGCCTCAGCGATACATCCACGCTAAATTTTCTTGTGATATATCCCCAACTGCTTTTTTCGACTTTTCCACAGTGAGATTTTGAAAAGTTCATTGTTTGATACTTATTTGACTCGCTCCAGAGAGTTCTAAAAAAGAAAACTGCTCTGTACGATACTTATATCTTCACAATTCAACCAGGCCCCAGTCTCCAGTACCCCTAGCTTACTCGTCCAGCTCAAGTAAGAAAACGAACCCAACTGGTAATTTTTGCTCTCTTGACACACATACACAAAATATTTTTTGATGTGTTGTTTAGAGAGAGAAAGAGGGACACGTGACCAGACGAAGAGTACCCCGTCGTCTTTTGGAAGACACTCCCAAAGCGGCCACCCATTTCGCTCTCCTTGTTTTCCTCATCTTTCCCGCATCTTCCTTGCTTCTTTTCCTTCTTCTCGTTGTTCTTCTTCTTATTCTTTTCCTTTCGCTTGTTTCTTTTTGCTCCATCTGCTTCTCCCGCGCTCTTTCTCTCTCTGTGTCCCTCTATATCTATGAAATTCGATTTTTTCCTTCTTCCTCACACACTTCCTTTGTCAACTTTTGTCTTTTAAGTTTGAAAAAAAGCAATTCTCGTTGAGTTCACTCGGATAAATTGGAAATTTCCAGGAATCATGTCCGACGATAATCTTCAAATGGTTGTTGTCCAGGCGGCGAACTGTGGAGTACTTCACGTTTACGTTCAAGGCAATCTTGAGGAACGCGGAGGAAAAACTATCATCCTCACTGTCCATGACATCGGAACTAACCGTGAGTTCAATAAACTAACCGTGAGAAAATAAGACACAAGACTGTATATTTTATCTTCAGACAAGAGCTTCGTTCGGTTCGTCAACCATCCATCTATGGCTGCCGTCAAGGAGAAGGCGATTTTCCTTCACGTCTGTGTTCCTGGACAAGAGGACAATTCTGCCGACTATTTCGGAGACTTCCCGACTCTTGACGGAATCGGAGACGACCTCAATGCTGTACTGGACAAGTTCGAGGTCAAGTCGGCCATCGCTTTCGGTGAGGGCGTTGGAGCCAACATCATCTGCCGGTTCGCTGTGAGTTTCATACACTTCAAAAAAAAGAATTGTTTTTGCGTTTCAGATGGGACACCCAAATCGCATCATGGGAATCATCTTGGTCCACTGCACCTCGACTACCGCTGGAATCATCGAGTACTGCAAAGAGAAGGTGAGGCCTGAGAATGTATTGTAAGAAAAACCTGCAGGAAGAATCTGATCTTTCAATTTGTCATTAGATCCATGCTCACCCTCCGACATCAGAATCTTCTTATGTGTAACAAAATGATAATTGATCTGAAGTTGAGCCGAGGCAATTCGCTATGGCCTACGTCATTTTGACGAGCAATGAGCACGGAGCCCGAGGGGTGGTGGGAAAAAAGAGATGAAAAGAAAAAAGGGGGCGACAGAAATGGGAGTGCGTATATTCTTTTTTGACAAAAGAGTCAAAAATTTGATTACGTCCAGACGAAAACTACTAAAAACTGTCTCGGATACAACAAAAATTATAGGAAGAGTTTCCATTACTAGAATTCCACATAAAAGGTTTTGTGTTGCAGATAACAATTCTAGTCCGCCTAAAAAATTGAAAATTCAAAAAAATTTTCCAGGTCATGAACATGCGCTTGGAGAACTCCATCATGTCAGATGGAGCCTGGGACTACTTGTTGGCCCACAAATTTGGAGGAGTAAGTTGAAATGTTTCACGAATTACAGTATCTGATACTAACCTCCGAAATTTCAGGGTGATGTGAGTATTGCATCTAACAAAAATAACGGGTTATTCTAGCCAGACTGATTTATTGCCAATGATTTATTTTCCGTGGTCACCTTTAGCATAATAGATTCCTAGCATCACTCCTCTGATTTGAAAAACTTTTCCAAAACAAAATGATAGTGGTGTACTTAATATTTATGATTTTTTATAGTCTAGAAAACCAAAAAAATCATAATAACAAGGATTCATTTCATTTCAGGAATCCAAATCGCGCGCTGAGTATCTTGAGGAGCTCAAGCAGACTTTGAACGCCAAGAATCTGTCCAAGTACCTTGTCGCGTTCACCAAGAGAACTGACCTCTCTTCCACTATTGGAACTAAGCTTGAAACGTGAGCGAATTCGTAAAATCAATTTCAGACAATTCATAATTTCAGTGTCGATGCGCTCTTGGTTACTGGATCCAAAGCTTCTCACCTCCACACTGTCTACACTACTCACAAAAGCATGAACAAGAAGAAAACCACTCTTCTCGTCGTCGACAATGTCGCTGATGTCATGCAAGAGGCGGTACGTGATTTTTTCAATGATTTTCGAAATCTGTAGTAATATCCAACTATAATTGTTTTGATAGAATTTAGTGACTATTCAAAAAAAGTTTTTTGAGAGATACGTAGTTAGAAGTGCTGACATCCGTTACTAGCTTGTTGAGAAGTTTTTTTAATGGAAAACGACTAAACATTGGATTGTGTGTACTCAAAACTCAATTCAAATTTGTTGGGTTTAGTGGGAATCACATCTTGGTCTGTTTGAAACCTGGCGGACCCGCTCAGAACAGATATCTATTTCAAGTAAAATTTATTTCCTCTACAGTGAACTGTATCCTTTTTCAGCCTGACAAGCTTGCTCGCTCTCTCATCCTTCTCTGCAAAGGATGCGGAGTTCTCTCGGGAGTCGCAATTCCAGGCATGGAACGCCAGAGAACACTCTCAAGCTCAATGGAAGAAGCCGATCGTCCACGCCGCATGTCCGTCACTCAGCCACATCTCCCACCCGTCCCTTCTGCATAAATGTCACTCCTGTCACTGATACTTATCTAGAACATTCTTCATTCAGTTACTCGATTCTTGCTTATTTCACTCTCTTTTTCTCTCTCTACGCCCAACTCCCCCCATTCCCTGACTTTTTCAAAACATACTGTAACTTTTTGGTTTAAAAACTTTGTCTTGAAAATCTTATAAACTGTAGATGTGTAATTACCATCCACTTCTGATAATTCTCTCTATATTTTGGTTGTCCCACCAGTTCTGTTTCGAACGTTCTCGTTTTTTTCTCATCTACGCCGCACGTGGACCTTCTGCTTTGTACTTTTATCTATTTACTCGTATTTTTGTTCTGTCGGCACGTTCATTTCCGTTTTTTATTACAAAAAAAATAATTTTTCTTCGGATGATGAAATAAATATAGTATAATGGGCATGACGGGAACAGTTGAGAAAATTGGAGATTTTTGAGAAGGGTTAGTTTTAGGGCCATGAGTGTTCGAAAAGAAGAACAATGTACATGTAAAATGGAAGGAAAAAATATCACACTATGCAAAACAATAATCATGATGGTGTTAGATTAAACATTGTCCTCACGATCCCCTCCGGTATAATTGTATTTGTCGGTGAAGAAAGAGTAGGATTTGAGCACAATAGTCAGGAACCAGACTTCGATGATGACAACGGCGAGTGAGATAAAAATTTCCAAGACTATTAAGAGCTCTTCTTCTGAAACACGAAAAAATGCGTTTTTGGGAGCTGAAGAACTCAAAAATGGTATTCGACTTGTACAAACATCTTGAGATGAATACTGTTTGAGTTTACAATATTTTGCTCACCTAACGAGTTGTATCCGTTTTGATCTGGGTCATCGAGGATTCCTGGCTTGATGCCCATGATGAGAGCGAGGAAAAGTACAAATAAAAGGCCAACGAGAAGTGTCTGAAATTTATTGATGTAACAATTGTAGAACACAGTTGAATAATATTATTCACCTACACTTTTATATTTAGTCCCTTATAAAATTTCTAAAATCTCTAAATTTTCATTTATTCTAGATTTTGAAAACATGTCGAAATTCTGTCTCAAATGACCATTTTAATTAAAAATAATTAATTTTCCGATTTTTTCCGGACCCACAAATTGAAAAAAAACTTTTTTCCGATTTTTTAAGGAAGTCATTTTTCGCCCAGCCCTGTATTTTTGGCCCATTTGGTCTGAAAAATACGAATGCAACATTGAATTAAAACTCTATTTTTGTAATCATCAACGTTTTGTAGAATTGCTTGCAAGATAGACAGATTGTGGGAAACCGCAATCTGTCTTTTCTTCAGTAGTAATTTTGACATTTTGAGGTATTTTCTGATGTAGTTCACTAGAAAGTGACTATACAAAAACTGTTTCAATCACAAAAATAAAGTTTTCAGATTTGTTTCGATTTCCCTGGGTTTTTCAGACCGAATGGACATATAGCGAATAGTTTTTCAGACTGTCAAATTGACCATTTTTTTACTGAAACAGTAACTTTAATAATTTTGGAGAGCCTTGTAAAGATTAAAAAGAAATTATTTTTAGCTAGTTTTAGACAGCTTTTTTATTATGCTTAACCGGGTGCATGTAGATTCAATAACGTTGAAAAAAGTTTGTCTCAACGTTTCTGAATACATAAATTAAGCTCTGTTTCTGTTTAGTATACTGGGGAATTTACAGACCGAAAAGGAAAAACCTATCAATTACTTTTCCCAAAGGTGCCCAATTAAAATTATATAGATGATTGAAGCTGGTTTTTTCTTTAAAAATTGTCCTATTCTAGAATATAGCAACTTTTTTTTCAGTGTCTAGTCCAATCCTGAACTTCTGATCAGGCAACTTCGGGAAACACCCTTAACAAATTAATAAAACTTTATTAACATGATTATTTCTCACGAGGAAGCAACTAACAACTCGTTCAATTTTTCTGGAATTTCATTACTTTAAGTTCTCTAAGATTGAATAATTTTTAGTTTATTGGAGTTTGGACTTACCTGAGCAAGAACATAACCAGTGAGAAGTTTGCGACTTTCAAGTTTCAGTCCGAGGAGAAGAATAATGGCAGCAATAAGGCACAGTGTAGCGAGGAAGAGTTCAGCGGCAAGCTCGATCTTTGATTTTTCTGTTCCAATGCATTTTACAAGCCACGTGAAAATACCGCTGCATAGAATAATGTGGAAAATGGCGATGAGCACAGCTCCCGTCTGAAATTTGTTAGGTGCCATTGAAGAAAGTTGTTCGTGAAGGATTGAGTTGCTTCGTCTCGGTGTTTTTTTTTCATTCGAGAAGATCCCGGCACAAAAACAATCGGACATGCAATTAGGAATTATTTAGGAAGATCTTGTCAACGTCACAAAATTCGCTGTATCTATTCTCTCTTCCTTCTTCCTTTTAGAATTTATACAAAGAGCATCGTGTCATACTTCCTGATCTTGACTACGTAAAAGACAGGTCGGAAGAGGGTGGAAAAAGAGGCGAGAACTTTAATTTTGCTAGAAAGGAAGCAAGGAAAAGAGAAGAGGAAGAAACAGAGGACGGAAAAACAAACATGACTTTTTCCAGTGAATATCAGCGAGGAGAAGTCAACAAAGAAAGAATGAGTTTGATTTATAATATAAAATGTTTCAAATTCAAAATTTTCTCATTAAAGGAAATTCGAATTGCAGCATTTTTAGCTGTGGGTTTGTTGAATTTAAAAATAGTAAGAATATGTCTGAGGCATATATTAAACTTACATTCGAGTGCAATTGTTGGAAGCAGCATGCATACTGTGCATGTGCCGGATTGAAGGAAGCATTTGGCGACCGTTGTTGGGGCTTAGGCACGCAGGGCATTGACTGACATTCACTGAAAATTGGCAAACGTTTAATGAAATCTTGAGAATGTATACTTCAAAACTAGGATATACTTTGGTAAGTACAAGAAAACAAACGGGAAACTAACCAGCAAATAAGTTTGAATAGATTAGAAAAGTTAGACCTCATTACTTAATTACCTATATTAGAAAAAGAGAAGCAAGGGGAGGGTGGAGCAAGAGCGAGGGTGTGAGGGACCTCCCTAGTTTTTGACCAAGTGCGACTTTTCGTCGCAATCATTCTATTTGTTTTGCTTGGGCAGAAGGCGTGTGGGGATATGGAGCCGCACCCATCATTCTTCTTTATTTCAGATTTTTTCATTAGGGATTCCATTTCATTGTTTAGTTAGGCAGGTGGTATAAAAAGACCAAGGAATACATTTAGCTCAATGTTTGGAAGGTTCTATAAGTTCTTGGAGGTGAAAGCAGAGATTAAGATTTTGGAACCTTTGGCCCGGTTTGTCCTTATAAAACCAAAATAGTATCAGAAAACTCCAGATTCTATATTACTTGTTCCTTGACATCTGAAGCTAGAATCAATCTAGATTCAATGGTTGGAAAACAAGAGCAAACTGAGTGAGTTTGACAGATGCAAAAACATCGAAGAAGACAGAAAACATGAAGAAGGGAATGCAGCATATTGCGAGGAGGATATCTAGGTTTCAGAAGCTGAAGGTGGAATTGGAAAGTGGCGGTGCAAATAATATGAGAAGGAGCAGCGAATGGAAGAAAAAAGAAGAAAAAGAAGAAGAAAAAGAACTAGAAAAAAAGAAGATGAAACATGATGATGAAGACTAGCTGAGGGACACATATGCATCCTATTCTGTGATGAAAACCACGAAGTGTTGTATGTTTTACGATCAGCTTCCAGAAGAGATCTTAATGAATTGCCTCTGGATGTTCTCATAATATTAGTGGTGACAAATTTTGTGACAAAAATGTGGAAAGAGGGACCATAGTTTGAAATTATTTGATTTCAATATACGAGAAAATGTAAGATATTACGTTTCTGTAAATGTTCGTTCCTCTGTAAAAAAAAACTGAGCTTAATATCAGAATTATTTCGATGACCTTATATAGAAATAAAAAATAAGCGGAGCAAATTTATGTGCGTCAAAGTTTTTTTGAGTAGTGGTTGTCCACGTCAAAATACGGGGTGACCTAAGCCAATGAATTTTCACTACTTCTGTATAGTAACTTATGGGGTTATTCGGAAAGAATCAATTTTGCTGACTTGCTTCTTCACTGAATAACCCCATTGGGTTCAGACAAAGATAGTTCCTGTTAGAAGTTTTTGTGCAGGGTTTTTGTTTAAGTTGACAATCTTCACTATTAGTCTACCTTAAAAATTATTATGAATCAAACCGTAGCGGATTTTCTATTTGGAAAATAAAACTATTAAACTCTTCTTTCAGTGATGTACAGTATTTGAATTGATTTGCGTCACTGTTAAAAAAGTTTCCATGCAAATCAAACTTGAAACAAACTTATGAGAGTATTTGTTTTATTTTTCATCGCTGATTCTCATTTTTCCAGCAGAAAACCGTTTATAATTTATAAACTGTTTCGAATAAAACTTAGATTCATATGAGAAGGCTGAAACCAAAAAAAAAACGATTTTTCTTCGAAATCATTTTTATCTGAAAAAGTGTATAGATTTAATTACCACCTGCGCATTTTACTATTCCTATCTCAAAATAGAATTTTGATCTTTCAGCAGCAAGCTATAACTGATCATATTTCTACAGTCAACCTGTAATAAAACAGAGAATCGAGTTCTGAGCAAAACACATCAGCGAAAAACCGCTGACATAGAGTTTCTTAGTAGTACAAATCTAACAATTAGTTGACGTGTTTGTAGACACAAAAAAGAAACACACGGAAAAGAAGAGAGAAAATTGAATTACTAAAATTAGGGGAAGCAAGGTCAAGGTTTCATCCTGAGATTTGGTGTATGGTCATTCTTGGTTTTTCATTTCTAACAAGAAATTAAACAACAAGAGAAATTCAGAAATCTAGAGTGTTCAGTAGACGTATAGTTATTTGTACAATCTCTCAAAACTTCTCACGATGTAACATTACCTGCTCGTGTCAGAATCAAAGCTATATTTTGTGTTTGAATAGTAGCTGAAATCAATCATAACAGGAAAAATGCGATTTCCAGTTGAATACATTTTTGCGGGTATTTTTGGTTCGGGTGGTGGGAATGAGACCTGAGGAAGAATGGAAAGGAAAGGGAGCTCCAAAAAATTAGGAGTGTATTTAAGAAGAATCGAAGGGGGATGTGGGCGCTAAACCCGCCCGTGAAGCGGTTCCCCCGTCATGAATATAAAGTGGTTCGCGTCTTGATTGTCCACCATGAGATCACCTCATTTTTTTTGCTCACGCGCTACTGCCAAAACCATACTCAATCTCCTTCAGATGGCTCCGCAAGATAGTTGGGTTTTTTCCAGTTGGGCAAAGGAAAAAGAAGAAGAAGAGAAGTGATGAAAATGAGCTGTCAATCGAGGATAAAATAGGACTGAGAAAAAAGAGGCTCTCTATTCTTGACTTCTTGACTTCCTGGGGATCGAGAAACAAAAAACAATGGAAAGAAATTGGGGACCCCAGAAAAGTGGCTGAAAAAGCAAAGAAAAAACACAAGAATGCATGTGTGCTCTACAAGAAGCGAAGGACACAGTAGATTGAATGCGGGCTTTCAATGCAATTAGGATCAGGAGGAAAAAACACAGGAAAATAGTAGGTATAATGGAGAAACATTCGATCAACTAATCTGATTTGGTGGGAGGAAGGAGGGGGAATTGAGAAGGCTAAAAGAAAGAAAAGAGGAGGAAGAATTGAAGAAAAAAGAGCAAAGTAGTAGAAAAAGTGATCTGGATTGAACTATCAGTCTGGTGGTTGAAATAGTTTCATCCCGTTTTTTTCTGGTTTCTGTAGAACATCGTTTCAAAATCATAATTGCAAGGCCTTTTTCGATAGAAATTCATCTGCGCCTTATGAAAATCTCAAAAAGCTCAAGTCACTCTCACCCGACTATCCGATCTAGTTTATTAATCCGACACCCATAGACAGCAACAGGTCAAAAAGACATGCGATCTTGAAATAAAGAGACAAAGACGGGTAGAATTACGTAAATTCGAGCTCTGAAAGATGATATGAATTAGTGAGAGTGTTGAATAATGGGTTTAACCAAGAAAAAAAATATTGAGATACATCATTCTAGCTATGGTATATGAAATAAAATGAAGAGTGGGAAAATTGGAAAATTTATTTAAAGTTTTTGAAAAGATCGGGGATGACAATCGGATTTACTGCGCTTTGCTTTTTTGCGTGGAGGTTTTGTAGGTTTTGTTTACGTGAAATTGGGGAAAACTGGAAAGCAAGCTGTAACAAAGCATTTTTTAACTTAAAGTTAGAGATTACACGTTGCTAATAAAAAACTCGAGAGTCTAAAACACATCTGCTGTATTTTTGACATTTGGGCATGATATAACATTTTGGAAAAAAGAGCTTTTTAGAGAAATGCATCTTTTTTGAAAATAAGATTTAACAGAAAAGTTGGTCGATAAGATCTACAACGCCGAAAACATCTTGACAAGAGAGCCAAACGGGCGGGCTCTACGAGAAAATTGTCACAAAAAACCAAAACTATTAAACTTGTTTACGTAAGGAGCGGACCTTTGAACACGCGACACGTTGACATGGATTTTGTTCTTGTTTCAAGAAAACAGGATGACTAGTTTGAAAATTAAGTGTCTAGATCGCCTATCTATATCCAACTTGATGTCAGTCACAGAAGAAGAAGAAGAAGATGAGAAGGTTTGGATAAGAGAAAATAGAAAAAAGAAGCAAATAGATGAATTGAATTGACGTCAATGGACACGTAGTAAATTGAAATTGGAACATGGAATTGAAAAACTGAGATAAAGTAGAAACATATGGAGTCCATCCAACCACTCTCTTCTCAGCATCGCAGCAAACCCAATACAACAGAGATAGAAGCAGATCATATTTTGAGAATACACGGGATGCTTGTTTCACGAAGAGCACAGAAGGATAATAGTGGGAAAGATTGCTGCTCCGGAAGTCACTCCCCTTCTCCAATGACGTGGATCAAAGGAAATCTTGTGATATTGTTTGCTTTCAAAAAATATGAACGAGAAATTGAGAAGGAGTTTTACAGGACACACATCATTAAACCCTGAAACACTAGAATTCAAAAATCATAGTGATGCAACATAACGAGTTTAACAAAAAAGTCTGATTAAAGTTCTTTGCAGTTAATTGAGTCAGGAAGTAATAGCTGTGCTTCAATTTTGAGGTACCAAAAATATAAGGTCAGAACATTGGATTTTATTACCTGATTCTAAATGTGAAAACTTTTGAAATACTTGAAAAGTGTTGAACATAAATTTTCTCGGTTTACTGGTTTAGTGGGAGTGGAACTGCCCAAAAAAATGTCCGGAAGTTCACCTTTCTTCATAAACTTCAACAGAATATGGACACCGTCTTTAAAGATACGTATCTATATCTTTAAAAAATTCAATCAAGTCCCTCGAGAAGTTAGAAAAACGTTAAAATTCAAATTCTCGCTCCACCAAAAACACCAAATTTTCCGGCTCCCAATTTAATTCAAGCTATTAGACACCAAAAATAGTCAAACTATAAAACTGTTGAGATTTCTTTGCTGAATCATTTTCGGGGTTTTATTAAACGCCGAATAGGGAAAACAGCTTTCACTTGCTTGAGCAGTACAGTCGAAAATGTTACATTTTTCCTAAATCCCTATTTCTTAAAGCCAAAAATCACAGATTTTTTCGGAGTGTGTAGTTTCAATCGGTTTTGAAAACCGAGAATCTTATGTAAAAAACCAAGACCTAGTCTCTCCTGACAGCTGATATGATAAAAACATGTGTTTCTATCAAATTGTCATAAATCTTCACTCTGTCTGATAAACAAAAAAGATTGAAAGAAGAAGAAAGTAGTAGAAAACCAATAGACTCATTATGCGCAATGATCGCAATCACTGAAGCTGGCCCTGTTGAACTTTGAAGTTTGAAATGTTTGAGTGACTAGAGAAGAAAATGAAAAAGGAATACACACGAAAATGGGACGACACCACCAAAGAAGAGAAATGAATTCCAATGTCTTCTCAACTTCTGACAAATAGTGACTAGGGACCCACTTATTGAGACGGAAACCGAGTAGTGTAGTCCATTTTTCAGTTTCCGAGCGAAGCTTTTTGAGTTAGAAAACTTTGAAACTTGGTTTGAAAAATTGGAATTTGAAGTGGATGCGGCAACTTGGATAAAGGAATTCGAAATTTTGCAACATTCCGACTATCAAGATCTCAACAGAGAACGGATGGGGAATTGAAAGCACAGAAGTATTTTCAAAAATATCAAAGGAAGGGGCATTTATGCTCCAACTGTTTAGTGCAAGCTTTTATGATTGATGAGTCTTATTGATAAAGCTCAGCATAATATCATTCTAACCCAGAAACTCTACCAATAGAATGATGAATTCAAAACCACGTGGCTACGAGTTCTAGAAATTTGAGGAAAAATGGGAAACGTGAAGGAAAGCGAAGTAACACAGGACTCGATGTAACAAACTTAACAAATGGTGACGACGACGTCGGTAAGTGAAAGCCCATCTGGAGAAAAAAGAAAAAAAAAGAAGAACACGTAAACAATTGAAAAAAGAAGGCGGAGCACAAAAGAAAAAAGAAGTATGAAGGATGGATGAGATGGAAAAATATGTCGTTGATGAGAAAGAAAAACCCCGAACCCCTCCCATCAACACAAAAAAATTCGGGGAGGGTGGACACCACCATCACTATATGAATAGACCATTGTAAGAAAAAGCATGTGAGAATGACGAGGAAAGCATGAAAATATGAAAATACATGAAAATTGCTAGAAGTTTCAGAAACTTCCCCCTGGAGTAAAATTTTCGGTCCATTTTGTTCTGTTCGGTTATCTTTTTGGTTTTTTTGTTGGTTCCTTGCTCACGCCCTCTTGGAGGGCAATAGAATTTTTTAAGTTTTTTTTTTCCGACAAAACTGAGGGAGAAAAAGGAAGAAGACCAAATATTCGAAAGAGCAAGTGGAAGTAAAATAGAAGTTTTGAGTATTTCTTCTTTTTCTGCGTTTTTAACAATGACAAATGCTGAAGAAAAAGAATGAACTGAACATTTGTTGGGGTTCTCAAAACTTTGAATGTCAGGGACCAACCAGAAGAGACTTGGAATTTGTCACGGAAATATTTATGTTCTTTTTCAGCTCAAAAAAAATTGAAATGTTTAAGTTTTAGGATTACATTGGATTTTTCACTAACTTTTTCATACAATACTCTCTTGAAGCTTTCCTAATTAGAACGTATGGTGAGTGGTCTAGGGGTAGAAAATAAAGTTGCGAAAACCAATGTGAGAGTGGAATGATTTTTCCTTCAGCGGCCTTGTTGTTATTGTTTAAGCTTTGTCCCTATTTCTCGGTCTATTCAGTGGCCCGTCTAAATTGAAAAATGAATAATAAATAAATGGCTAGTTGAAAAGTGGAGTGCACTAGCTACGGAAAAAAGAAAGAGTTCAAGTAGGAACTACAAGCGAATAGAATAGTAAAGCATTCAGCAAAACGAGTTGTGGTCAATTTGAAATACAGTAACCTATAGATTGCACGTTAAAATTTCATAACTCACCCAAACAACATTTTTTCCTTAAGATTGGTTTGTTAGACAGCTGTTAAAGTAGCCATGGAGTCTTCTTGAGTTTGTTTCAAATGAATACTGAAATGTAATTTATATTGGGGGAAATAGAAATTTTTAATCAGTTTCAAAAGTTCAAAAGCGTACATTTAGAAAATATAGGTATAGTTATTTTGAAACTTGAAAGAAAAAGCAAAAAGAAGAGGAAAATAGAAAAAACCCCATAATTGGTGTATATTCTCCACCCGTGCACATTAGTGCTTCGAGAACAGCATATGATATTTTATAGGTCATTTGAAACCAATAATTGTCATCTGTGCCGGAGGAAGGCAAAATGTCAGGAGGCGCTAAAAAACGGAAATTGGGTTTTCAACACCACCACTATTCCACTATAGTGAAAAGTCGATGAAAAGCAGAGGAAGTGCTCGTGAAGCTTCATTCAATCAGATTAATTGAGGGCATACTGTAGAAAAAAGATTTATTGGAAAAAAGGAAGAAAAAGATTCTCATGTCCTCTCATGTCCTCTTTCTCTTTTAGTTAGTTTTTCATTTCATCAAGAACACAAATCTTGACCCCCCAGGCCTTATCTAGAACACGCCTTCTCTTTCTCCCTCCATCCCACCATCATACATTTCCGTTGGCCCTTTACTTGGTTTTTTTACTATCGGCCTCCGAATCCCCCAAATTTGTCCAATTTGCCTAATAGCTTCTTGTCTCAACACAGTCTTTTCAATCAAACCGAGAAATCAAGAGTAAGAACTAGTGATGAAATAAATCCAAGAGTGAAGAAGGAAAGTTTGACAGAGAGAAGAACAAGTGGAAGTCATGCCACCCGCGATCGAAGGGAAGAAGACAAGACCTCTCTCTTTTTTGAGCTGCTCTCGGGTCGCGTTCGGATAGCTTTCAGAAGGAATGTGAGAAGGGGGTGAAAGAACGGAACTGCACAATTTCACCTTGTGCGTTGGAGAAAATCAGAAACCAAATACTATAACCGCTGAGACTTCTAATTTTTCACAAAGGTGTCGTTTGCTCCATACCTTTGAAAACTAAAAATAAGCCTGATCCCAAAAATATATCAACACCCCGATTTGTGATGCATGACGTTATTTTATCGCCCTTTCGCAAGAAGAAGATGAAATGAAATAGGGACCTCTTGACAAGATAGGTGAGGGGACGAAACACTTCAGAAGAAGGTGGGGAAGCTAACCACAAAAAATGCCTAGAGAGTTCTTATTGGAAGGGCAGAGTAAATATTCAGAACAAACAAAATGTATCCTTTTTTTTCGAAATTTTTTCCCAATGAATCTGGAAATATCTTAGAAGTTTTTTGATCCGTGGTCCAGAATTCAGAGTTCTGGAGGATTCGAAAACATCTCTTTCATAACTTTCTACGAGCAAAACTTGAAAACGGAAAAAAGGTGGACATGAAAAATTGATGATATATTGGAAAGGAATGTACTCCTGGAAATTATGATATTTTCAGGAGCCAAAAATCGGTAGTTTCTGCGTTGTTTCGGAAAGAATAGAGAAATCTTGGAAATGAAAGTTATCGAAAATTTTTACGGAGCTTGGCTACCGTAGTTTAAAAAACAGAAAAAATATGTGATTTGAAAATACGAGACAAAGAGTTTTGAAGATAGCCTACTGTAATAGCAAACGTATTGCTGTTGAACGTGTTGGGAATGAAAGCAGGTTTTGTAAAAAAGAAATCTAGAGATGTGAATCTCTACGAAGTATATTGTACCGCCCCATTCTAAAAAAGGATCCTATGTTTCTAGCGGGTTTATTTTTGACCGTTTTGTCACTCGTTAATACCCAAAAAAGGATATCCTTGAACTCCTTCACATCCTTGTGAGGGTTCGTCTGTCCTCTCGTCAAGAAGTTATCAAAATGATGGCACACAACTCTTCACACTTAACACGGACAGGAGCAGCTCGTGAAAAAAGAAGAGAAGAATGAGGAAAAAAAAAAGAAGAAGAAGAAGACATGCAAACCCCGACGAATGTGAAACCTGGGCAGGTAAGCGAAGCGTCCCACGACCTGGCGGGGAGAAACACGAATTGTTATAAAACATATGCCCCGATGCTCCTCTTCTTCGTTGCCTTTCCGTTTTGTCTTCTGCTCTTCCTTTCTCTCTTTACCCGGATTCCCCTCCCTGACATTTGTCGTTTGACCTATAGTCTAGGTCTAGAGAGAAGCACAAAAAATGGAAGGATCGAAAAAATAATGAACAAGAAAAAAAAACACGACACAATAAATTCTGTCATTTCCCACCAACTCATCAATAGGACTCATGATAAATGGAGCAGCGAACAGGAGCAAGTTATCTATTTTTCTCTTGTTTCCACCCCCATAGAGTTTTTAAAAGATCCCGGGAAAAGAAAAAAGATATAATTCGTTTCTCGTTTGAAATTGAAAACATCTGTTTCTCCCAAATTTTATTGAATTGAAAATGAAGCAAATGACACCAATAGCAAATTACACAAAACAAAATTAGAAAAAAAATCGGTTCCTCATGTTTCATCAAATCATTGTCATTCAACATACCACTCGTAATTATAGTCATATTTTAGTCAATATAATATTTCTTTGTACATAAAAAAGGATTATTTCCTTCCTAATATGGCATTGTAAACTTTTCTCGGACAGCTAAAAGAACTCCTAGATTCCAGATGGGCCTCTTTAAAGACGGTAAAGCAAGTAACCAAATACCAAAATGATGAATGACATGAGATGAAGTACATTTCTTGGAATTTCAAAAACTTCTTCTTTGGCTCTCTGATTCATCTCGTTTTTCAATTGTCCATTTCGTTTCAATTCTTCTTGCAATTGACGCTGAACCTGAAAAATGAAGAAATCGCAGAATGAATAATGAGCGACAAATGACTTACACTTGAAACGTACTCCAACGCTTCTTCCCATTGCTTCAAGAGCTGCTCATTTTGAAGCTCGAGTCTTTCTCGATCAACCATTGCTTGCTCGAGTTTCGATTCGCATTTGCACGATGATTTGTCGCATCGGAAAAGGTCACGATCCGAGGTGCGGAAGAGGGAAGATGAAGTCATGATGCCGCCACCGCTGCTTCCGCTTTTTTCTGAGGAACACGGTGATGTCGAACTGCTGGACGCAACGATTTCGCGCTCAATTACTGTGATCTCGCTCTCGCTGTTGATGGAGTCCTAGAAAAAGTTTTTGTGAAGATAAAGAAGTATGTGGATATCGGGGTTATTCAGAAGTTTTGTTTTCAAATAAATACATACGGCAGCCTAGAGATTACACGATTTCAGCGAAATCTGTATTAGATGCGCTACTCTAATGTAGGGATGTGTTTGAAAAAATGCGTGTTTGGTGAAAAGAATATGTTGAAATCCATTGCTTTCATGAATTTCAAATGAGAGTTTACATAATTTTTCGAATGCTGTTTTCTAAATGTTTGCTGTATTCTGTAACTCTGTTATAGAAAACTCTTAATAAGAATTAAGGGAATCGGCAGAATACAGGAGAATATTGAAAAAAAAAGTTTATGGTATTCAGTAATATCTTCGACTAGAAAAATATTTCTGAAAATTAAAACTTGAAGTTAAAATTTTGAGTTCGTACAAAGATCTCTAAACTTAACAAAGCGACTAAAATTTCTCACCGTATCATATTTATTGTTGTTGTCACATCGAATTGCCTGTAACTGCGTTTGAGATGCTGATTCATTTTCAAGAATGTTGATGAGATGACTTTGCTCGAAAATCAACCGTTCTTTGCCTTTGATCTCCTCTTCCAACTGTGAAATCACGTTTTCGCGGACCAACAGTTTTTCGTGAGAGATGTGAAGTTGCGTTTCGAGTTCAGACATTTTAGATTTGTAGTCAATGGTATCCATCATCTGAAATTAATCCATTTGAATTGAAAATTCTGGATAACAACAGAAAGAAGAAACAGAAACAAAAGGAAGAGGAGTGGTATGGTTTATGTCTGGTTTATATGTCGTGGAAGATATAAAGTTCTGTGAAAAAGTTGCCTCATTTTTCTTCTTTTTGTTTCATTTTTCATTCCAGCTCAAAAAAAAATAGATTGGAAATTTGAGATCAGGGAAGAAATTAAAATAAATGTATTCAGATTCGGGACAGACAAAAATTTTTTGGGAGGAGGAAGCGAAAGATGCGATTAATTAGGAGTGGAGCGTACGGGAAGGGAAATTAGCGGTGTGGTGGAATAGAATTGATACGAGAGCGAGGGGATGAGACCGGCGGAACAAAATGGACGCAAAATGTTTGTGGGGTGAAAGTTTTTTTTTTGAGAAAAAGCAAAAAGGATATCAATCACAAAAGGAGATGCATTTGTGTGTTTGAGGATGAGAGTGGACCAGAAGAAACCAAAACTTGGATATGTTTTGTGTTTGTTCAGACAAAAAGCGAACGATACTTGGTTCTACGTTTCATGCGTACTATGAAGAAATTCTGAAGAAGTCGAAAGTCTTGTGTGCTTCAAAAATGCCAAAAAACTACGCTTAACCTTTGACCAACTTTCGTCACATGACCGGAAGGTGCCAAAGAGTGCATTTCATTCCAATTCATAGAACACCACTTTTTTGACATTTCTGACACTCCAGAAAACTATCTATCAAGGCAAAAAAGCCAATTATCAATTGATATGTCCTTGTTGAATCGGAAAACCAAATTAATTGGAGGAATCAGAAGGACACAGTAAAACTGAGAAGATGAGAAGATGAAAATTGGCTAGCTATCAAAGATAGCGAACGTTTGGAAATCATTGATGATAATATAGAGAAGAAAAAACTTGCTAAATTTCTCATATTGCGTCATAACTTTCACAGATATGGTGATGACAAGATTCATGAGGGAAAGAGTTGTTCGGAATAATTTCTAATGGTATGACGCAAAATCTTTTATACTTTTCAGTCGATTGAAAAATTGAAAACTCCTGAAATTAATAACTCTTAAGTTTTAGAGTCAATTCTCGGAGTATGAGAACTTGAGAATATCAAAAGTATAAACAACCGAAAACCTAAAAATCACCGACCTTGGAATCTGGAGAAAATTTCGGAACTATTTACATCTGTTGAAACATTATGAAGCAAATGGAAAACTCACTACTTCACTCTCTGATCAAAAAATTGATAAAGTTTCTCTTCAACGTACATAGTTAGTAAGTCCATAACTCCGAGGCTGTTTGTCAAAATGTCAAATAGAACCTGTTAGTACTTCAACTTCAACCTTGATCAAAGAGCTTTAGTGATAAGTCGATGGAAGAAAATAAATTCAAATAGTGTTCGGGAAAAAAATGATTTGAGTGAGAAATTTTTCAAGTGATTGAGACTGAGTGTGTGATACATCTCATGGATTTTCTCAATCTTCTTGCCCTGATAATGTTTGTTTATTTGTGCTCGTTCCAAGAGGTGGAAATTGAGAGCACCGAGAAAAATGGATATGAGAAACGAAAAAAAAGGGAAAAAAGGAGAAAGGGGTGCCAATGGTTGTCATAACAATCGTCAACTCTCGTCATTTCGTGGTTTGAAACATGTCAAAAAGTCTGGGAGAGCTTGTTTTTGTGGTTATGAACAAAATTCTCGTTTCGCAATAATTTTGTTGTGTTCCACTGCATGAATATAGAGCAAACAATAAAATGCATATGTTGTCTTGGTCCGCCTCTGCCTCATCGACTCCCAGCAGTGGTGACTGACAATGAAAAAAACCGCGAATTGAAAGAAAAACAAAAACGAGAAAAAGAAAAAGGGGGAGGAAGTAAAAAATGAAAAATAAAATTGAAAATGATATGAAAACCGAGAACGTTATAAATACTGAGAAGATGTGAAAAGAAACCGAGAAACCTGGTTTTCCTTCTTTTCCGCCTCTGCCATCTTCGTCGTTCATGATGTCTCCCCCAAAATGACAGTTTAGCAAATAATAATTGGAGGTCAATTCATCATCAAATCGTGTGCACTCTCTCGTCTCTACTTCTCTTTCTGGCTCCACAATCTATTTTCATTTAGATCTACCACTCACGTCAACACAGTGAGACCGCGAGCGGCGCGAGAGAGCCCTTCGGAGGGTTCCGGCTACTTTACCTCAATTCACAGTTGTAGGTAGGAACTAAGTAATTTGAGACGGAAGCGGAAGGAGAAGGCGAATTGGAAAACGACCCTTTCTGTTGTTTATGCACTTTTCGAATTTTAAAAAGTAATATTATGTTTTTGAAATGTTCTAGTATCTTAATTTGAAATTGTGTGGCGAAAATAGAATGAGACTTTATCGAAAACTTTGTAGCTAGATTTCAAAACTCATCAAATTTTAGACATTCTAGCACATTATTTTGAATTATGATTACGTGCTCTACTGTTCCAAATTTGACTAAACATAAACAAAGAAACCGAAAGAACAAAAATTTCGAAAATCCGAAACAAAAAATCAAAACCAACCGGAGCAACCAATTCTGACTTGATATAGTGGTTCTTTGAAATCTGCCGAATTCCTTCAGAGGAAAATTTAGTAAAAAAATTAGTAGTGAATGAAAAAGAAGCCATTGGAAGATTCTTTCGTCTATCCGGGCGGCGAGGTGAGGCCAAAGAGATAAATAAACGCAAAAATGTTGTCATTTTTACACTGATCCCAACATGATTGAGGGTCAATTGGCCTCCAGTGATTTTGTACATCATTCTGCTACAAGATATTTCTTTTATACCTGCAGCTGAACTGAGAAAAAAATTGAATTTAAAAAGTTTTCTGGCTAACAAAGTGATCTTCTCCACTGTTACGCTTCCTGTACGGTGTCAGTGTTGCGTGAAATTAAAGATCATCGGCTATACATATAGTCAGAAGGACAACAGGATTCGTTAGAAATTTTGTAGAAGGACGAAAAAAGAAAACATTTCTAAAGGTGTTGGATTTCTCACAATAGACTTAACAGAGAAAGAAGATGAGGAAAATAAGAAGAAATTTTGGAAAAAAGAAAAATCGAGTTGGCAAAAAGACTAAAGGTTGTGTAAGACAGTCAAGCAACCTAAGTTTCATGTTACTTCGATGATATGAACATTGAAGAAACGGATAGGACAAATAGAAGAGGAAGAAGAAGTCAAATTGCGTAAGATGAAATTGACGTGAATTGGCGAACATTAGAAAGAAGATGCACGGACCAGAGCAACTGTCACACAAGGACCTCAGTGAACACACGCAGTACACACAATTGTTAAAATGAGGTGCAGAGAGAAAAGTAGAGATATGAATCGGAATGTGCACATTCTGATTGACCACGGGTGGTACAACTCTGGGGTGGGAAGGAGCTGATAAGAAATGAGAAATGTTTTATATGTCACTCTGTGACAGACACACAGAAAACACAAAATGTCAGAGCATGGTGCAATTTGAGATTACGCTGAAAATTTATTCGAACTGGCACAAAAGGTCAGAATAGGTTTTTTGCGAGTTTAGAGAGCACAAACTACAGGTTTCCATAAACTCTGAATACTATAGGATACAAAAAGTTTTTACAATACGCTGATTACAGGTAGAATAAATCAAACATTTAGTTTCTATGCGTTTATTTAGCTGATAAGGTTATTTTGGATAAGAATATCTTAGCAGATGAATCGTGTTGAAGAAAGGTAACGTACACATTTCAGCATGCAATACTTTTTGAAAGCTACTATAAAAAATTTTTGAAAAACAGTCAGGAAGACATTCCTCAAACCAAAACATTGAATAAGTTGAAAAACAAATGAGAGAAATTTCCTAGGGCTTGAACAATTCTTGTACTAAAAACGTAAAAACTTTGAATTTTTCCAAAGTGCGTTAGTATTCCAGACAGGTGCAACTGAACTATTCTAATTTATTTTTATTTCTTTGACTGGTTAGAAGTTTCAGTCGCTTTTGATAAGAATCCCACTGGCTACTTGGGCAAACACTGACTGGACAGTATGAAATAAGTGTGAATAAGGCGACAGTGTACAAAGTTTTGGAAGAAAGACCCGGCCGAAGAAGCGGGTATTTGTATGGTGACCGAAATCAAATGTCTGCTGCGCGAAAAGGGCAGTGACAGACTAAACACGTACAATTTACAGAGAACAAACGTGACTCATCCTATGCAAAACACTTTTCAGATGGTCTTCATTTTTGGGCAAATTGGCTAGAAGTGTAGGGTATAATGGAAATCAGTTGTCTTCGAAAGTAACAGTCACAAACTCTGAAAGACACAAGAAAAGGTTGTGATGACCATAATTTGTTGCATGATGAGGAGAAAACGGATAATCCGATGATTTACGGGGAAAAGTGGGAGGTGAACTATTCTTTACACGTGAAACGGAAATGACGTGGATTGTGTGAAAGTTGGTTGAAGTGGAGAAAAGTGGCAAAATGAAGTGAAAACTGAAAAGACGACATGGAAACAGTAACCTGGAAACAATAACATGGGAACAGTAACCAAACAACAAAAGGAAAACAAGAATTGAAATGAAAATTGGAAAACGTTTGTCGAACAAAAATCAATTTCATCCGTTTTTTGAAATATAAAATGAACCGAGAAAACGTATTCCGAAGTTAAATAAGTTGGCAATAAGTTTTCTTCTCAAAATTATATGAGATTTATAGAAATGGAAAGAAGTTATTGAAATTGGCGTTTTTTAGATTTTTCTGGAAAATCTGAAAAATCTGCGATTAAAAACTACATTAAAGTAATCCAAGTGACAAATTTGAAATAAAACTGTTCAGTAGGAATTTCGAAATGCCTCCCAAACTTTGAAATCCAAATATTTATACTGAAGATGAGTTCAAAAAATGGAATGATTCATTCTCCATTATTCCGTTATATACATCACAACGTTTTCGTACACACACACGCACACATAATAAAAAAGACCGGCAACCACAAAAATTTGAAAAGTAATATTGAGGACTCAAAACCAATTATTCCACATATTTATGACATTTGGCATCCAGCAGCTCGAACAGCAGTGCAACAACCGTTGTAGCTTTCAGCAAGAGATGCGATCAGAGATGGGCATGCGGCCTGGAGACAAAAATATTATGGATATTCTGGTTCTCGAAAATTTTTCGGTACCTGTGTGGAAACTCCCTCATATTGTTGACGGGAACTTAAATAGATTTGCACATATTCTTGGCACCAGTAGGGATCGGAAAGGGCGCATCTCGCTAAAAAAAGCTTACAGTTTTTTCTGACATGTTTGAAGAGGTGTTTACTCTCTTGTTAATTCGGGTAGGAGGGCGACGGAGTTTATTTACAAAACAGACGAGGACAACGAAAAGCGGAAAGTTGAAAAGACAAATAAACGTGTAGCACAGTGTATAAGGGAAAAGATTTTAGAGGAGATAAAAAAAGAGGTGTAGGCGGTGAGAGATTTATGATGTGATGGGAGGAAAGCAATGGCAAACACGTGGCAATAACTGTTGTGGGTGTCAAAAATTACTCAAAAGTTAATCGGTGACCAGATGTTCTTTATCTACCGTTTGGGCTCATTGTGGTAGAAGATACTCGTTGATCGAATTGGACACCATTTCCAGATAAGCCGACGTTGGTCCCGGATGGTGTTCCATATGATCCAGTTTGCCATTGAGTAGAGGTACTATAATTAAAATAAAGTAATCTTTTGGAAATTTCACATCGAAATATAGTTGTCGGATTTGACCAAATCTAATGAACAAAGGTTGAACTTTTTTGGACGGGATGTGTTCCAAAATTTTTTAGAAAACTTGAAATCAAAAATATGGGTTTACGGTGAGTGCATTTTTCTGCCACTCACCGATATGGATAATACATTTCAGTGTTATTTCCAGCAACATCAAAAAATCTGCTAGAGAACCTGTAGGTTGTCTGTCCGTTGCGGTTAGCATTGCCATAGTAAATATCATTCGATCCAGCATCACGGAACAATTGAGTGTTGGCATTTTGACCGTTGAGAGTTGGTCCTGGGAGTGGTCCGGTTCCGCGGAGGTTCAATGTGGCTGGTGGAGGCTGGTCACGAAGTCTGGTGGTTTTCAGGTCGGAAGCACTGGTATATCCTACTTGAGAATTTTGTGGCTGATCGAAAAGGGTATATGTTCTTCCGGTCGGAATGTTACCAGTTCCAAGGTTGTTGGTCACAGATGTGGAAGTGTATGGGGAAGCTGTGGAGCTGAATGTGTTGGAAGCCTGATCACGAAGCACTGGGTTCGAGCTGGAAGAGCCGGCTGGAGCGTACTGTCCGAATGGATACACGTATGGTTGAGCGGTGCTGGGGGCTGGAAGTACACGAATTATGAATATTTTTCATTTTTATTGATTTCCCGGAAGAACGTTTAAAAATTGAAAATTGATTCAATATTTCACAAACATTTTTTAATTCAAATCAGTAGAAATCTTTGGTAATTATCTACCTGAGTACTGCACATTATTATTGTACTGGGTTGACCCTGATGTTCTTCCCGCGTTGCTGCCGGAGTTATAGTTGTAACCATAAATATTTCCACTAGACGAGTACGATCCACTGCTGGATGGGTTTCTTTGCACAATTTGTTGATAGTTCACTTGATTTTGCTGATCGTTGGATAGTGCTGGTCCGGTGTAGTAACCATTAGCTGGAACACTAGAGGAGCTAGTGACAATTCCTCCGTTCGCTGATGATCCAGCTGGAAAAATCAATAAATTTTTGTTCTTAAAAACGCTAATGAAAAAATGCACTTACAAGATTGCTCGTAATTTCTAAGCTCTTCTAGATAGGTTTGCGAGTATTCGTTGGCAAGTTGATCGTTCAAAAATTGATAATTCGGATTTTGTACCAAGAAAGGACCATTGTTTGAGTTTCCAGTGTTACTAGTGTCATAGCCATATATGTTACCGTAGGCGTTCTGACAGTGAACGGAGAATGCAGAAAGACAAACTGAAAATCAGAAGCCGATTAAATTTTGAAACTGAAAAGCTGCATGTTACCTAAGAGTAGAGTAGTGAACATTGTCAGCCAAGATATGAGCTACTCCGAAATGAAATTTTGCTTTTATAGTGGTACCAAACTATTTCGTAAAACTAGATTTTGAGTGAGATCTCTTCTACAACATATATTTAGAAAATGGGCGGGGAGTGGATGACTCTTCAGAAAAAACTCAAAGGTAAAGTTAAAGGTAAGCCATGAGATGATCCTAACAAACTTCACTATTATTTGTTGTTTGCAATGCCCATCTCCTTTCTTTTTTCTCTTCGTCGACGAGTCAACAAAGGCATGTCAATGCCCGCTGCCAAGTGTCTATGGCAGTTCACCAAAAGACTGAAATAGAAATATTGGTGGTAAAAGATGAAGATTTTTCATTCGAGAAATGGTTTTGAGTTTTCCAAAGGGAACTGTGAGAGTTTGGTGTTAAAACATCCTTGACATGCAAACAACTTGGTTCCATGATCATTGAAACATGCAGGGATAGACCACCCGTAAAACATGTTAGCAGAAAGTGTCTAGGGTGTTCCGATCAAAAACTGACTAGGATGAGCATCGAAACATATAATATAGAAACCTGATCAGTTCGATTGCTACCAATTCTATCAGTCCCAAAGGAATATTCGTCTGCCATTTTTGGAAGAGATTGCAGTTTTCAAAATTTTTAGCAAAACTATTTTTTGCATAGTCAAAGTTTGTGGTATAGAGAATTTTAATAATCCATTCATCCTGTTTTCTTAGAATGCATCTAGATTTTTTTAATTCGTTCTTGTATCAACTCCTCATTGAGAGCTAGTCTTCCAATACATTTATTGAGAAGTTTTTCAAAATGAAAATTAGCAGTTGTCGAATTTTCTGAATTTTTTTTGTTCAAGCCTTACAGATAGACTGAGAAAACTATTCCAAAATTACGGGAATGGTTGTTTGAATTATCAAGCATTTTACGCCAAATTTAGAATGAAAACTTATGAATCATTTCAAAGCCACGAGTTATACATCTCGGCATGTCTAAAGACTAGTTTGTGCCATCTGAAACAAAAAATTAATAGACCAGAATTGTTATGTGTGAATAATGACTAATACAATTTTAATAACTCTTAAATGCTTTTTTTAAAACCTTCAGGCATCGAATGGTCGTTAACCTAGAAAGGTTTTCCCGGAACAGATGAAGCTTTATCTCTTGTCAGATTACGTGACGCAATTCGTTGTTTTGATAGACTGTGGAGACCACTGAATACCTATACGAGTTCCGCTATAAAATTGTTCCTGCTTTTAAGTTTTATTTCCAGTTCCTCATCCTACTTCCCATCATTATACAGAATTTTTTATGACATCAGTAGTCTACGATGCCTAGTTCCACTCCAAGCCAAAAAAAGACAAGCTCGAAATTTGGGAAAACACAAAAATAACCAAATCTTATCCTCTAAATCCCAATTTTAATCCCTTGCGCGACCATTCGGCGTACTTGCAAAATCGAAATAATACAACGAAAAATTTCTATATCCATGCGATCGATCAAAGAATCAGCTGTTTGACAGGGATTCCTCCTTTGTGAGGTTTCTCATGACGTGTCGTTTCTGTCAAAGCCACAGACACACAAATGTTTTGTTGAGCTCGTGTTGCTATTGGTGATTTTAGGGGCTCCGTGGCTAAGCGAGAAGAGAAGATATATTCATTTCCACCCGGATAGAGATGCTGTCGAATGTTGACTTCTCAAGATGTCCCACTTGTTTGGAGGATTATGGTAAGTTTTTTTCTCTATTATGATGTTTATCGACTACTGAAAGTGAATAAGCAGTGACTCAACTCAGGATAGAGTTATTTCATGATCCAGGAAATGAACTTTTGTATAATGTACAGCTCCTCGAATACTGAGAACGAGGGTTAAATTTAAAATTTTTTGATGTTTTTTTTTCCATTTTTTTTCCAGATGATAACTCTCATCGTCCGTGTGTCGGATTTTGTGGTCACTCAATTTGCTTGAAGTGCCAAACTAAACTTGTGTAAGCCCCCATTCAACAATTTTCAGAGAATTTTCATATTCCAGAAACTGTCCTCTATGCAAACGCAAAAACTCATTCTTTGGCACAGTTATCAACTATCAATTACTCGGTAAATCCCATTCCTTCTCTATAGTGATTTTTCTCAATTTTCATAGACTCATGTCTTGCCATCCGTCAGCTACTAAACGAAAGTCCAAAGAGCCCAACTGCTGGTGCCAAGTCACCAAACCGCATCAGAGCTCCAAGCCAAAAACGGATGACAGAAACTCCGAATATATCGCAACAGGTGCGTCATTTGTAATCATAGATTTTTGAAATTTCGTAGGTTTCCCCACACATTTCTCACACCAATGAACTGTTTTTGTAGGGCTTCATTTTATAAATCGAAAAAGTGTAAACACGAAAGTGAGACTCGTGGAATTGTGTACTTCGTGGAAAGCCCAAAATATTTTTAGTCGTTTTTGTAGTCCATGGAACACTAGGCAGCAATGTAGTGAGAACTAAATAACAATTGAGGGTTTCCAGTACTCAGTTCAATTCGTAACAAAATTCCAGGTTGTGAACGCAACGCGTAGAAGTCGAAGGACCGCTTTGGAGACAACTGTTGACAAAACCCAGCAAAGAGGTACGTTATGCTCGCCGAAAAAAAACAACAACTAAAGAAAAAACCTTGAATTACTGGAAAAATAATTGCTTCTATAGAAATTGAGAACAATTGGATTTCACAGCACATTCCAGCCCCAGAGTCTCGCCGACGAGACCGATCATTGAGACGACTTTCAGAGAGAATGGGTTTGTAGAAAATAACCGAATTCTGACCAATAATCATTTCATAAATTTTTCCAGTTGGTCCTGATAACATTCCAGCCGTGTGCTACAGAACCATCTATACAATTCCGCCTCCCGAGGTAGGTGGGACTTAAAAAGTCTGGAAAAGGGGGAAGAAAAGAAAATGGGCTCACTAACAAGAAATTGAATTATTCAGAACTTTGCCGCCCAGGGAATTCCGTCCGCCTTCAACCGAATGTTCTTCGGGCGTTCATGTTTTGAGATTTGAGTTTTTCGTCTTCTTCCATTTTATTTCTCGCTTGTCTGTGACTGTATTTAATTTTTTTTCGAATAAAACGTTTTTTGCATCATCCAACTTTTGAAATCACGAGTTTGATTCAAATCAGTGCGAGGAAAAAAAAGCTCAGAGCGAAATAAGCTATCCATGAACTCAGAACCATATTTCCCACGGTTTCCCACGTCAGTCGCTCCTAGAAAGCCTGAGTGGTAATCTGATCTTGGGGTTTCGTCTTCAAACAATCCTAGATGTGAACTAACGCCCCTAAACGACCTCATTGTCTGAAACCAGACATTCACAGCCCGAATTTGATTTTCTGAGTAAGCCATTCTGTTTTTCAGGTTTTTATTCCAAATTCTACTTTCTTCGTAACTGAATTCACAATTATTTTTAGTCTGATTTTTTCTTTTTTCTCAGTCTGATTCTAGAAATTATGCATCCGTCTTTGTTGTATATTTTGGTTGGCGTTTTTTTACGAATTCCTAATAGCCCCCTTGAAAAAAAGTATATAAGCATCACGCAAAAAACAAAAAGGCACAATTCAGCCCAGTTGAGCTTCTCCACATCTTAACTTCAAGATGCAGTTTTCTGTGCTGGTCGCCATGCTTGCCATCCTCATCGCTCTCACCTCCGCTGTCAATGCCCATTTTCCAGTCTACAGTCTTTACAAGGAGCGGAAACCGGTTGATTTGGTAAGTGGAGGATTAGAAAGTTCTTTCGAAAAAAAAACTGAAGCAGAAATTCATTGACATTCGATTTTTTAGTTCCAAGCCTTGGCCAGCGCACGGCAAGCAAAACGACGAGCTGGAGTATTTGAGGAGAACTATGATCTGCCATTATCGGAATTCTACCGTAGCAAATAAATCTTCGGATGAATCGTTTTTCTTGATCATATGATAAATGTTTTCTGTTAACATTAATTTGCACATATTGAAATGATTCAAATCAGAAAGGAAAAAATTCAAATTTGGATGATATTCCTAGAATATCTTCCCATTCAAAAAAAATCTTGCATTCTAATTCTGAGATTATTTTTTTTCTTGCCTGAATGATTCAGAAAAAAAAACAGACTAGTCTCAAAGTAAACTTCTGGAGATATACAATTTATTTATATAAAATGGGAGAATCATTAAAAAAATTGAGATAACTTTTTAAACATCTAATTAACTTAAACCTTCTTAAAATCACGGATAGTCATAGATCGCGCCGGACACGGACAGTATGAAGAATCTCCACCCGGTCTTCCGTGTCTACCAGGTCTTCCAGGCTCTCCTGGACGTCCTCTCCGTCCGTTCTCGCCTCGGAAGCCCGGAGGTCCCATAGGACCTGGTAATCCATTGTCTCCGGGTAGTCCTTGTCTTCCGGGTGGACCTTAACAAATCTTATTTGGAGAAAAGTTCTGCAGAGAAGATGGCGCACCTCTGGGACCTGTTGGTCCTGGTGGTCCGGGGAAAATTCGTTCCGGTTTCAATTTGTATCCATTTCTACCATCCTTTCCGTCTTCCCCAGGCGTTCCAGGTTCTCCTGAAATTATTGACGTATTGGTTCAAAAAAATGGAGGGATTTTCATTAGTCAAAACACTGCGGTATTTTCGAGCCGATTGGAATTTGAATCAATTTACGTTTGTTCAAAAAAGTGCAAGTAATTTACTTTAGTGGTCCACATTTTCTAGTGAACTTAAAATACAGGGCAAAAAATTCGGGGGGTACAATGATTCGGGGGTACAAGGGGGTACAACTAATTTAGGGGTACAAAATTGGTGATTCGGGGGTACAAAATTCGTAGGTACTATAATTTGGGGGTACAACGATTCGAGGGTACAAGCTATCGATGATTCGGAGGTACAACCCACTTCATTTGGGGGTACAACGCTTGTGATTCGGGGGTACAATTTTTTTTTGAGGGAGTTTCTGAATTCCTGAATTTCAGAGCGGGATCTGAAAATTTCGGAACTTCAGAATCGGAGAATCTGAAAATTGCCAATTTCAGAACTTCGAAATCTCAGAATTTCAGTGTTTCGGCATCTGAGAATTTCGGACGACAGAAATTGTTCACTTCTCATTGGTACATAGTTCTTTTTGAAAATGGAGAACTGTAAAATAAGCTTGACAAGTTTTACAAACTCAGGTTCTTAATGCTTAATTTAGGATTAAAACCCAGCCGATACTTTCCTCAATACCAATTTTCCTCAATTCTATTTCATTTCCCTTTGTTGCTCAATATTCCTTTTTCCCCAATTTTCCTCAATTTTCCAATTTTTCTTAATTTTCCTCAATTTTCGTGGTAATTGAAACTTTTCTTATTTCTTTCCATAATTTTCTAGATCATTGATTGAAGGAAACAATCACAAATTAGCGATTTACCAACGAAATTCGAAAATCCCAAAAATTGGCCCAAAATGAGCTATTTTCATTCGAAAATTGTTTGAACAGACAATAAAACATTACAAATATTATAAAATTAATTGTTTCGATTAATTACCACAAACATTTGAGCAAAAATGACGAAAAACGAAGGAAAAAGGAGAAAAATGGGATTTGCGAAAAGCTGTGAAATTTGCGAAATTTTCCCATAGATGAGAAAACCCCCCACCTCGGCCACGTACATGGACTAATGACGTCATTGCTCGCAAATTTTATTTTTAGGATTTTCTTAGTTTTCCTTCGTTTCTCATCGTTTTTGCTCAAATTTTCGTGGTAACTAATTGAAAAAAAATTAGTTTTATAGTTTCTGTAATGTTTTATTGCCTGTTCAAACAATTTTCGATAGAAAATAGCTCATTTTGGGCCAATTTTTGGGATTTTCGAATTTCGTTGGTAAATCGCTAATTTGATTGTTTCCTTCAATCAATGATCTAGAAAATTATGAAAAGAAATGAGAAAAATTTCAATTACCACGAAAATTGAGAAAAAGAGAAAATTTGAGGAAAATTGGGAGGAAAAAAACGAAGAATTACATCTATTGGCCAATCAGAAATTACATCTATTGGCCAATTTTTGTGAGGAAACCTGAAAACTGTTCGAGTTATCTGAAAAATTCTGAAGATACGCCATTTGCAACCGTTGCAAATTTATACGGCCACTCCAAAGATCGGGTAGATCATGACCTCCAGGAAAGACATATGGGTCTGATTTTGATTATGTATCATTATAAGCACTGTGAAAAACTGTTTTCATCATGTATGTTCTTTTTTCTGTAACCTTGGCATTATTCCATTGATTGTTTGCTGATTGATGCTGAAAAAGCTTCAATTGGCGCGTTCAGATAAGCTGGAAGGATCGAAAAAGCCAATTAAAAGTAACCTAAATATTCAAACTGTTTATTTATCCTATTTTTCCTGATCTGGAAGCCAAAAAACCAGCGAAAAACGGCTGGATCAGTTCAAATGTTGAACTCAAGAGATCCATTCTTGTCCCTCCAGGCGCTTTGAAGCCGCGTCTTGATATGATACGGTAGTTCAACCTTGGTGCCTGCATGTATAAAGTTTGGACAGTTCGTGAAGATGATAAAAACATCAAAAGAACAGCCGTGCGCTCTGATCCAAGGCTTTCCGACGGTCACAAAGTACGTCGTCTCGACAACTCCCGATAGAATATCGGAACCGACTGTGAGAAGATAAGAAGCTCTTACCATTCTCAAATTGTTTTCTCTGATGAAAAAAAAAGCGAGGTGAATGATTTTGGAAATCGATTTAAAGCTTTAGCTTTCTTTTTTTTCTTTTTCTTCCAGTCCGTTCCCATATTTTCACGGGAGATGTCGAGATGACGTACTTTGTGACCGTTGGAAAGCCTCGGATCAGGGCGCACGGCTGTTCTTTTGATGTTTTTATAATCTTCATCAACTGTCCAAACTTTTTAAATGCAGGCACCAAGGTTCAACTACCGTATCATATCAAGACACGGCTTCAAAGCGTTCGGAGGGACTAGAATGGATCTCTTGAGTTCAAGGTTTGAACTGATTCAGCCGTTTTTTGCTGGTTTTCTGGCTTCCAGATCAGGGAGAATTGGATAAATAAACAGTTTGAATAATTTAGTTACTTTAAATTGGTTTTTTTCGATCCTTCCAGCTTATCTAAACGCACGGATTGAAGCTTTTCCAGCATCAATCAGCAAACGACCACGGGCATAATGTCAAGGTAACAGAAAAAAAACATACATGATGAAAACAGTTTTTCACAGTGCTTATAATGATACATAATCAAAAGCAGACCCATATGTCTTTCCTGGAGGTCATGATCTACCCGATCTTTGGAGTGGCCGTATAAATTTGCAACGGTTGCAAATGGCGTATTTTCAGACTTTTTCAGATAACTCGAATAATTTTCAAGTTTTCATCACAAAAATTGGCCACGAAATGTAATTTGTAATTCCAAATCCAATTATCAAAAAATTAGATAGATAACTTCAACGGTTCAAAAGTTATGATCCAAGACATGAGTGGCCGTATAAATTTGCAACGCACTGTATACCGACGTTTTTCTCAGACGAAACTAAGAAAATACTGAACTTCTTAAAAACAAAATGATAGAATTCTCCACAAAAAAGTTTAAACATCAAGAAACTTTGTGAATTTAATTTCAGAGTCACAAAAACTGTTCAAAGAAAATACCAACCTGGTCTTCCTGGTTCTCCTGGTTCTCCTGGTAAGCCACGCAATATTTTGATGGTTCCTAGTATAGATCCGGGCAGTCCTCGTTTTCCAGGCAACCCCTTTTCTCCTTCCAGCCCCATTATTCCTCTCCGTCCTGGAGGCCCTCTTGGACACATTATACAGGCTAAGCGTTCTCTGAAAACGCATTTCTTGGCGGGAAGCGTTTCAAAGTTGTTGATTCCACGTCGTCCTGGCTGTCCTGGCATTCCAACGTCTCCTCTACACCCAGGAGGTCCTGGTGGGCCTGGTGGACATCTTGGAACAAGAGGTTCACAAACGCACCAGGGCGGTAAATTTGATTGGAGTGTGTTTCTAAAGATCCTTTCTATGAAAACCGACTTTTTTGTGACACTTCTCTTCCTGATGCTTGAAAAATGTTCTTCACTGACCTCCATAATTTGGTCCCAGGCAATGTTCGTAGTAACCTAACAAAAAGCTGTTTTTTTTTTGCCGGAAATGTCTATAAAATATACCGTAAACTCAGCTACATTTTTTCTCACTATCACAGATAGGTCATTCAGTTCTCGATATATTGTTATAGAATAAAACAGTCCATATAAAACAACGACTAGTGCGAAAAATGGGAAAAACACGAAGTATAGGGAATTTGTGAGAGAAGATGGCATTTCCACGGTATGACAAAATTGTTTCACACTGGCAAACACTGTCATCGAAGATTTTTTTCTTTGTAATCCGCTGCAGATTTACTATATACGACTTGGCATAGTTTTCCTGCCATTACGTCATTATTTCTTTTTTCGTGTCTTTTTTGAGATTTTGGCAGCTTATTACTCTTTTTGTTTAGTTGATCTTCCTAAGTTAAAAAGGGAAAATTTGTGAGATTTGTATTTTACGCAACAGCCTGTTTGGAATTTCTTTACATGGAAATTCTGCCTATCTATGTTTTTGTAGCTTTTTGAATACCAAACTTTATTTCAGAAATCATATCAAATCGAAATGAAACTTTGAAAGTGTCCATTATTGCGTCAGACACATCATCATCAAAGTAACATGATATTGATAGAAAAACAAGCAAAAGAGCTGCTCACAATTTTGAAGCTGAGGGAATGAGAATTTAGACGAAAAAGAAAACATCATGGATGATGTTAAATATTTGGAAAATCGGAAAAAAGGGGTCATAGAAAAGCAAGAAAAGAAAGTTTAGTTTAGAAATGAAAAAGTTTACAAAACACGGTTCAGAATGACGGCAAGAATTACAAGTGATGAGAATTGGTGGCACACTGCAGACATTGTGATAATACGGAGATCCTTGTTACTGTAGGGGTCCACATTGTACTCGTCTTTGTTAGCGGGCTTGATTGGGATGCGTGTTGGCTTGGCACGCGGAACGATGCGTTGGAGAGGGACTTCAATGTACGGAGATCGGTTTTGTGGTGTGACGTGGACGGTACGGGTGATTGGATAGTAGTCACTGTGGTCGAAAGTTAACTAGAAATATTCGAATGAGGCCGGAAACATGGAATTTTCATTTCAACTCACCTCATAAGTACCTCGATTTGCAAGGCGCCAAAATTCTCCATCTCCGTAACTCACAACAATCTTGGCCTTCTCATCAATACTAACAGTGGCATTTACAATCCCTTCTCCAGTTTCAGCGTCAATGACAAGACCGTGGATAGCTCTGTAACATTCATATTGTTTCATTCAAATCTAAAGCGATTTCAAGACATACTCATGAACTAGTGAAATAAACTTGAGCAATGCGTATTTGTTCTCTTCCCACAGCTTTACCAACTTTGCAGTTTTTGGAAATTTCTCACAGTTCATCTCAACAGTCAGCTCAAAGCAATTAGTGTTCAAATAGTTCCAGTCTTGCATTCCTCCAGAAACAATGTACCTGAAAAAAACTTGAATACAGTAATATCTTGTAATTAATTTTTTACCAGTCCGCTCCATTGATGATACCATTTTGAGGATCCACAGCAACATTCAAATCGTCATCCAAACACCTCGGCCCCTCTTTCCACATACGCTCGTGACCTCGTGCATACGAGTAAGCCAACCGGACGAAAAGTGCATTGTCGGGTGATGGAGCGTAATGTGCTTGTCTAGTACGTGTTGGATAGTCATCGAATGGGTAATTCACTGAAATTATGTTTGGTTAGAATAACTGCAAGTTGTGATAACTGGAAAAAACAACTAACCAAGAGTCGTGCCACCGTGCAGATTAGCTGATAGAACGAAAGGAATTTGGCGAGTCCAATTCATTACAGCGATTGTTTCGGGTTGAATATCACTTGTCGGAAAATAATTGGGAAAACGACTTGGAAAGTTTCGATTCAAATCCTTTCCATTAGCATTTTGACGTCCGGTGATTCCAGATGAATCTCCTTCTGACGCATGCTCATACCCGTCTGGATTCATGGATGGCATCAAATGAATTCTAGTGCTGTCAACAAGTTGGTGGATCCATAAATTGGTGTTATAGTTTTGAAGCAAAGTTTCAGCTAGGGAGACAAGGAAGACACGTCCAGTGACCTATTAAGGAAAATAAATCATAGATTAACACGAAAATGTAGGCTAACCTCATTTCCATGCATATTTGCCACATACTTGAATTCCGGAATCAACTTTCTGTGCTCTTTCGGATACCTGGACACCACAAAAACCCACAACTCTCTTCCTTCTACTGACTGACCAGCCGAATAAATATGTGTCAGATTTGGATATTTTCTGTGAAGGTTCTGAAACAAAACCGTGTACTCTAAGACTCCAAAGAGAGCTTACATGAATGTGATCCGTCAATGTTGAGTAGTTCATGTGCCTGAAGTGAAGTGGGTCACGAAACGGACCGATGGTCTCGCGCAACTGGTTCATCGTCGCGATTTCTCCCTCTTTGGTGAAGTGGCGGATTAGCATCTGAAGAGAGATAAGAAGTTTTTCGGCAAAGTTAAGCTAGAGTGGTTTCTGTACTCTTGAAAATCGAGAATTTTTTCACATTTTTTTTTCAATTCGTCATTACAGTAGCATTCTGAATAAATTCTGAACAATTTTTCGGCAACTATAACAAAAAAATATAATGGCCTACAGTACCTGTTCATCTTCCTCAGCATGCCGTGACCCGTGTGCAAAAGCACACAACAACAGTAACCAGATAACCGTCTTTCTCATCGCATGGAGTTACCTGAAAATTACTTCGAATAATAGTTTCTGTTTTCAAAATATAAAAATGTGGAAGCAAGAAGAAGAATGTGGGAACATGAACAAAAAACCGTGTTATCAAGATTCCTCATTTCAAGTTTCAATAGGAAAAATTGTTTCTCCATGATGTGTCACTTTGATGAAAAACCAAACTTTGACATTGCCTTCATCTATCTTGTTTCCACTTTGTTGCAAACTCCAAAAGGACGATGACATAGAAGAAGAACCCCATTGGTCTCTGGGGAGCCCGTAAGAAATAGAAGACGGGTAGAAGAAAAGTTGAACAAGACGTAGAAGAAGGCGTTACGCGAATAATAGAAGTAGTTTTGTCGACAAGTATTAGTTACGGATATGACCCAATTACCCATTGAAACGCACTTATTGTTAAAAGTGCAACATGGAATGGAAGGGAAGAGCAAGCAATTAGGATAGTTTGAAATGACTTAACAGTTGTTTTGAAATGACTTAACAATTGAACAGAAGATTTTTTATCCTGATCATTTTAACTCATGCGTGTTATTCGACTCTTAGCCTCAATCAGAAGCATGTCTTTTTTTGGTATTCAAAAAATATGTCCCGAAATACATCTATTCTAGAGAATTGAGCATTTTGGTTACTGTAATAAAATAAATATAATGTTAAAATTCAAAAACCTTGTCTTGTTTTTCAAATATAAAATCTCTACGCATCGATGCAATACAAATCAAGTATGTTTTTAAAAAGAGCTAAAAAGCGCGTTTTATTTCGGCGCAACAAAGAATAACAAGAACATACATTATTTTCTCCGATTATGCTTCTGGGGATATATCCATCGCTTCAAATACAAATACCAGGCGTCAAAAAGAGGATATGGGGTAAAAGAGGAAAGTCTGTGGAAACTCGAGAACAACCCCGACGGCGCTGGTGACGATGGGTTGAGGAATAGGTGCCATCATAAAAGTACGTATTGAGTGTCATAGAAAGCGAAGAGGAACCTATTCTCATCTCTGATGGCGTAGTGCCGACGCGAGTTCAAAGAGGAAGAGATGGGTAGAGGACTCTTAAAATGGCACACATGTGCGCAAAATGAGAAAAATGGTGCAATTGCACATTTCAGTTTTAATTTACAACAAGGTGGAGCAGAGCCGAGGAGAAGAAAAAAGGGCTCTTTTCTAGTTTAGAGGTCCCAAAAAAATTTAGAGGTCCGAAAAAAAATTAGAGGTCTCAAAATAAAATAGAGGTCCGAAAAAAAATTAGAGGTCTCAAAAAAGTTTAGAGGTCCCAAGAAAAAATAGAGGTCCAAAATACGAAAAACGCGCAGATGTTGGAATATGGTACTAGTATTTGAACTGTGCGAGTAGTTTGAGTTTTAGGGTCTTATAGGATGACAAGACTACTCCTAACAATTTTAGCTCCAATTCTCTCGCATCTTGCCGATGAACCCCAATTTACATATGAGGAAAATTTGGGCAATACAGTAATCACACCGTGATTATGCTGTCTCTCAGGCTTAGATAATTGTCAAAAAATATGCATTCCTAAGCCTATTAGAAGTATAAAATATATCATCAACAATTATTTTGCTATAAGACCTCAAAACTTTAAATTCTTACACAATTCAAATTTTAGTACATTATTCCGGTATCTGTGCATTTTTAAGTTTTGGACCACTATTTTTTCTTGGGACCACTAAACTTTTTTGGGACCTCTAATTTTTTTTTGGGACCTCTATTTTATTTTGGGACCTCTAATTTTTTTTCGGACCTCTATTCTTTTTTGGGACCTCTATTCTTTTTTGGGACCTCTAAACTAGAATAGAGCCGAAAAAAGGATAGTGAAAAAATTGAACTAAAAGATGAAACGATAAAAGAGAAACCAAAAATAGAAAAAGAAGACTGTTCCGAGGGTTCGTCTCTTGGTGATGAATGAGTCAAAAATTCATCCTCCGAGTCGAGAAGGGTGAAGGAAAGAAGTGAAATCTTGAGACGGCTCAATGAACTTCTGACACAACTTATTTTTTTTTACCGCCCATTTTTAGAAAATTCGCATAAGAAAAACGGAAGAAAGCAACGCGAAAATTCAATGAAGAGGAAAATCAAGTAGGGACCATGTTGAGCTGAAAAAATGCACAAGTAAAGGCGACGAGAAAAAAGGATAATGAAATTAGAATTCCGGATTTGGGGGAGCCAGACTGAGCGGGCTTGAGGAGGCGGGGCTCTACGTGCATATCTCGAAAAATTGTAATTTACCTGGAGAAAAGTGTGGGTGACTACTTTTTTTGTCCCATTTTAAGACGGGAAGAAATGTGTTTCGGGAACTTGAATAATGTAGTATCAGTTGTAGAAAATGTGGTCCAATGACGTTTGTAGACTCCACCCACTCGAATATAAGATATGAATTGTAACCCCAATTAAATTTTTTAAAAAAATTGACATTGATAAATCAGACTGATATGTTCTAATCAAAATACATTCTTGCAAACTTGAAAATTAAAAAATTCGTTGGAACTCAAATGATCTTTGCAAAAACTACGCAAAACTGAACTACAGTAGTTCAAAAAGCCAATGAGATGAGAAAAATGTTTCTTAGTTTGTCACTGACAGAACGATGGGACAGAAAGAAAAATTACCTTGCCTACTGGTCAGGGAATATTTTTGAAATTGTTTGCACAGAAAGCTTTAGAAATCATAAAGCTTCTGACGTTTCGAAATCCAAAAACTAAGATATACAGTCAATCCGGTCAATGAAATATATAAAATTGTATTACTTTGAAAACTTTAGAGAGTGTGAATCAGACCTAAATTGAAAATGTTGCGTTCACTGAATTTGTTGAAAGTTTCTATTTTCAGCTTTTTGCCGATTCCTGCAAGACACCTGTTTTTTCACGTTTAAGTATGAAAACATCGAACTGAAAATTATCACAACATTGTTTCTCAAAAATTCACAACCTCTATTTCAACTGATTGCCAACACCCGACACCAATGTTACACTTGGATAGAAGTGAGTAATATTGAATGGATATGTGTAAAGTATGCGATCACGATAAGAATCTTTTATTTTTCGATTGAATCATTTTTTTTTATTCGAACACGTGAGCTGTTGTTTGATTGGTTTGAGATCATATGAGAGAACGAATTATCTTTTTAGAGCAACGTTTGGAACCGGTGAATGCAAAAAATTAAACATGACTCCAAATTAAAATTTTTTACTTTTTTCAAAAATTTAATTTTGCGTTCAGAAGTCTCGTTTTCACGAACCAATTCGTTTTGTCAAATGAAAAAGAGAGAGGAACAAAATGAATAGAATCTAGATTGGCCCAAGAGGTTACAAATTGCTTAATTGTCCAGTTTCACCATTTAGGAAGATAGAACGAGTAGAATGAGCAGACACGAAAAGAGGAACTGACTCTTCGCGGTAATAAACGAGAAATTGGTGGGATGGATTGTCCTAGAAAAGTAAGGGTGGTAGTGGTGAAAGTCTGGTGAGCAAATGGTGGTGGGATCTGTCACCGGCTGTTGAGAGTGGTGGAATTTGACTCAGGGTATGCGCAGCGGGGGGATAAATGGATCAACTCCATCACTACACCACCCCGTATTGCAATAAATGACTTTTTGTAACAAAAAACGGAGCTACGAGTTGCGCAAGTTGGAGGTCAAATCTCACCAGGAAGAAGAAACATTAGGCACTCGGAGTTAGATATGTGTCGAATTGGTGTGTAAAATAACAGAGGTGGGAAAGAGAGTGATATGATGATGCTCTTTTCTCCATTTCACATTTGTTGTTCTTTGTCGGATGGGTCAAGCTATAAAATCTGCTAAGTGCTATCAATCAGGTGAAGCTTGATAAGAAGATTTAGAGGAAAACTAGCCTAGTGGAAGTAGATGAAATTCTCAAAAATAGGTAAAAGGTCAAAAAATAAATGTTTCCTTCAAGTCAGAAGACGTCAAATGCAACATGAAAAAAGAGAAAATATATTGGTGTAACCTCGGGGGAAAAAACCAATTAGAAAACTCGGTCGCAAGAAATTGAAGGTTAGAAAAACCAATATATTGTTGACTTTTCATAATTTCAATTGGGTTTTGAAATTATAGGTGGGATTAATTTTTTTTTCCTTTTTTCGAGGTTGCCATTTTTTCTTCTCTAATTCTGACAGGATCATTATTATATCAGAATGTCTTAATGTGTCCTAATGTCAGAATGTCTTAGAGTCTTCACACCATGAAACTAAAATTTTTGACAAGTGCCTCTTAATCCGAATTTCATGATATCATCATGATATTTTCAGTTAGTACATTCACCTGGATGAAACTGATTCAAATTTTTTACACATATTTGTTTTGCTTTCAGCAGTTTTATAGAACCTATAGAACATTGATTCGAAAAACAACTGAAAAGCCTCCGAAATTTTTCAGAGCGAGTGAAAAATTAAATCTCAAAAACCATATCTTTTTCCACAACACCCCATGAGTCATCAATAAAAAAAAACAGAAAATTGTTTTCTCCTAAGTTTTCTATGCTGCTTAAAAATTCATTTCCTAAACTTCCGTAATAGCTTTCACCTTCCATCTATCATTCCACGAAACTCTCAGCCCCCGCTTCACTTTTTTCCTCTTCCTTTTCTGTTCCCAAAGAAGAGCACACTAAATTCGAATTAGCTTCTATCAATGCACACTCACCAACATGCAAGTACACCACAATGGTCTTGTTTACGTCGTATCGTCTGAAGTCTGTCTTTTTTCACAACGATGAAAAGTAATAATACGCTACTATGTAGACACACTTATCTTATCAAACATGACCAATTCTTATGACACGATGATTTCTCCGGCATTTTCGAAATGTTATTTATAACTTGCAGAATAGTCTTTTTTTTCAATTATCTTATCTCTCTTTGTTTATAGTACACACTCTTGCACTTTTGATTGCTTCAAATTTTAAAAAGTTCCCAATAAGATATAAACCCCGCAGTTGTCGGAGGAAATTGGTTTTCTTCTTGTTTCCTTCGACACAAGAAAAAAAGCTTCAATTTTTTGGCGAATTCTTTTTTGAGCATTTTGCGGTCGAGCTCAATAAATGCATGTCGAGTTTCCGTTTTTCTTCTATGAATTTCCATATGAGTGAGTCTTCGAGCCATGTTTGGGTTCTCGCGTGGCAGCAAGTTAGATTTTTTGCGAATTTTCAACTCGAATCTTTTAGGGAGATTTCATTCAAACTTCTATATGACAAGGGACCTTCAAATAGGTGAGCTTCTCCCTCTAGATGATTTTGACATGCTGATTTCAAAAATCAAAAATTTACTATAAAGATATATAAAAAAATCATACATTTTGAGAAAAAATCTTTTATTTTAGAAATCGAGGTCGGAACTTTCCTAACTTTTGTGGGTTGTAGTTTTAATTACTTTCTTGATTAAAAAAAAATAATAACTTGAAACCAGTAGTCACTTTCATGTCAAAAATCTGTCTGTTTTAAATTGTTTCCTGTTCTCTATTTCAAATATTTTTCAGAGTTTCAAAAAACCGAACGAAATTCGAGAATTTGATTACCCGATTCAACTGTTAAAACAGAATTGTTGAAAAGCGCTTGCTGCCATTCTACACCACTTGTCCATCTATCTATTTTTGCCATGCCGCTTCCTCATTAACCCGAAACCATTTGGCTACGAGCGGAAACATTGTTTGTGTCCTTCTTCTCGCCTTTCTCTTTCCCCGTCCGCGTCCACTCTTTCTTTCTCTTGTTTCTTCGGATACCACAATACAAACGACACCAGTAGAAAATAAGTTAACTTTCTTTTCCCTGTTTTCCTCCCGTTCCCGCCTGGTCTTCTCGGTCTGCTGTTTGCGAGACCCTACTCTCCCCGAAACACACCAACATTTCGCTTTCCATATGACCTCGTGCCAATTGCTAGGCGCTCGGTTTCCTAAACACTTTGGTCCTTTTTCCTTGAACACCGCTTACCTATAAATATCTCAAAAATGTATATTACAGTAAGAAGACTCAAGTAAGGATGCTGAAATGCGGCACAATCATGCGGCCTCAGTTTTCAGTAAGTTTGGTTACACTGTACCAAACAAAAAATGACCATTGAAATAAAAAAGGACTACTTTGTAGTGTAGTCTCTCTTTTCTGTATACACGAAGTGATAAGAATTTCGGTCTTCCCCCATCAATATTTTCTTTCCATTCACCATCTTCTTATCACCAAATGTATATATTTAGTTTCGAAAATTCTGCAGAAAATCTCAAACCTCTTTCTTTTCCGTTCACAATCAACCAAACCTATTTTCAGCAAATGATGAAGCAGAGCGTCAACGCGCTTGCAAGTAGTCATGCGACTATTCGGCAATCTTCTGGTAACCACTTTCAATACGTTTTCCAAATTATATAAATTATGATTCAGATTTGCCCAAACTCCCCGCACCAAAGCCAGAAAAGACACTTACGCATTTTTTGGATTTCGCAGAAGCATTACAGTCGAAAAAGGAATTCGAGGAAACCAAACATGTTAGTTTTTAAATAAATGCGATGAAAAATCGAGAAAAAATTCAGATTGTACACGACTTCGTGGTTAAGGATCTGTCAAAACTTCAGGCACTTTTGGAAAAGAGAGCGAACGAGCTTCCAAACTGGGTAAGTCAAAAATAAAACTAATTCAGTTGATAATCGAAAAATAATTAAACATATCTCAAAATCATATCCCAAATTTTGAAACCTGTTTTCTATATGATGTTCCGGTCATGTTACTTCAAAAAAATCCTAAAATTTTAATCTTACAGCTCACTCCTTGGTGGCTTAACATTGCTTACCTTGCTGCTCGCACCCCTCTGCCCGTTGTCACATCTCCAGGAGTCATGTTCCCGAAATTCGATTTTAACACTCCGGAAGGACAATTGGAATATGCTGCGAAAATCAGTCAAGCGGCTATCAAATTTTACCTTCTTGCTAAAAAGTTAGTTCTTTTTTTTTTCTGTGCTTTCAATCAATATTTTTTCTGTGCTTTCAATCTCAGAAATTCGTATTTCAGCGATCAACTGAAGCCTGACATGTCTGGAAAATCTCCACTAGATATGAGTCAGTACAAATTTCTGTTTGGAACCACCAGAGTACCGAAAATTGGAGTTGATGAGATCAAATATGGATGTGACTACAAAGAAAAGTTGCAACACATTGTGGTGATCAGAAATGGACATGTGAGAAAACAATTGTTTGATTACAAATGTATGAATACTGAAATTTTCAGCTTTTCCGTGTCCAAATTCTTGACAGCAATGAAAAACCACTGTCGATCTCAGCTATCACTGAACAACTGCGAGAAGTTGTCTCAGAGAGTGAAACTCCAAATCCGCACCCAGTGGGAATAGTGTCTTCCGATGGACGTGACAAATGGGCCATAGTGTATTCATCTTTGAAAAGTTAGTTCAACATATTCTTCCAGAATTGATAGTTTACTTCAGAAGACAACAAGAATGCTGAATCCCTGGAAGCTGTCGAGAAAGCGCTATTTGTTGTTTGTCTGGACAAGTCCAGTGATCCACCAGTGGGGTATACTGAAAAAGACGAACAGAGCCGACAGGCACTTCATGGAGGTGGCTCAAAGGTCAATTCGTGTAATAGATGGTTCGATAAAACTATACAGGTAAAACATCTTTGCATTTACAACTGAATGATGTGAGAAACTATCCAAAACACATAACTTCAATTTCAGTTTGTTATTGGAACCAATGGATACACAGGAATGACCTACGAGCACACTCCTGCTGAAGGACCACCGGTTGGAGCTCTTATGGATTATATTTGTGATCAATTGTAAGTGAAGCTTACGATTTATTGCTCTACACTCTTATGAAAAAATGCTCGAATATTTGTTCATCGAATCCCTTATCTTTTTGTTTTTTCAGCGACGCTAACGCTTTCTATAAAGACGGACCATCCTCTAGCTCCAAAGTTCAACATTTGCCTCTCACTACCACAGCAGAAATCAACCAGAGAATCGCAAAAAGCTCCAAAAACATGGATCACACTGCCAATGACTTGGACATCGTTGCATTCACTTTCAAGCCATATGGAAAGAATTTCCCGAAATCTGCGAAAATTTCTCCAGATTCTTTCATTCAGATGGCTTATCAGCTAGCATTTTATAGAATTCATTCTTCCCGTAAATTTCATTTCGTTCCATGGTTTTTTAAAGTAATTTTCTTTCAGTTCCTCCCACTTATGAAACAGCAACACTTCGAAAGTTCACCGAGGGCCGAACGGAAAACATTCGATCTCCAAGCAGCGCCGCAGCCTTATTTGTCAGACAGGTATGACCTGATTTTCTCTGCGTAAAAATTCAAATTTCTGCTTCCAGATGGTATCTAAGCCTCCGCGACCGGTCAATGAAATCCACGATGCCCTCATTCATGCTACAAACACCCACAAAAAGTATACATTGGACTGTATGAATGCATCTGGAATGGATAGACACTTGTTGGCTTGGAAGTTGATCGCATCTGAAAATAATCTCCCAACTCCGGAAATTTTTGGATCGAACATCTATCAACAACTGAACCATTTCCAAGTGTCCACCAGTCAAGTCCCAACTCGCCATTTCATCCAAATGTGCTTTGGACCTTCTGCTCTAGACTGTTATGGAATCTGCTACAATCCACAAGAAACTGAACTACATTTCATGATCTCTACGTTCAAAAGCTATGGATCGACTAGCTCGAAAAAGTTTGCCAAAGAGCTGCAAAAAGCATTGATTGATATGAAGTCGGTCATCAACAAAGCTCAGAAACAGTCTTCAAAGCTTTAGGAAACTATACGAAACTTATGATTGTATCTTTGTGAAGTTTTTTGAGTTCACCCGCCATAACTAGTGCTTTTTACGTGTTCAGATCCCAATGTTTATGTAATAATTTGCTTGTAGATATGTTCAAATTCGATAAAGAAATTCTATTTTTGTCAGGATTCTTGCTCTCATAAGTAATTTCCTCTGATTTCAAGAGTTTTCGGTCTATTCCGTGGTTATTGCTCCGAATAGTTTCAAGTGAGTCTGAAATTCATAAAACTGCTTTCTTCGATACCACGTGTGCGCAAAACGCGCAAAGCATCCGCGAACGCGCCAGTGCGCACTTGACGTGCATTGGGGACGTGTGGGAATTATAAAAACACTGATTTGCGTTTTCACGAGCCTTTCTCGACTTCAAAGTAGAACATTTTTCTGTTTTATTGGGAAATTAATCCGAAAATTGTTATATTTTGTATTTACAGATCTTTCAAAGCAGCAGAACTAACAAAAAGCCAATGAAGTTGTAGAAAACCAATTTTTTGTTGTTTCCACTAGTTTTCAAAGAGAAGAAAGAGAAATAATGATTCAAGAACGGGAAAAATTTTGAAATGCACATAGCCAGTGTCGAGAAACGTTTAACTTTGAAAAACCTGTTGGGACTCGTCCAATATCTGAAAAATTCCACTTATGAAACAATCGACACAATTTTCTGCTAGTTTCGCTTGATGTGGAAAAAAAACGAATTGTGACACTGAGTTTTTTGGAAACGATGTTTTTATTTAATATTAGACGTTTGCGAAAATCGTAGAACTAAATTAAAAATAAATGGAAACAAAAATGATGGGATTAAGCGCAAGTTTTGCTTGCTACTAATGAATTAAATGATTATTGGTGGACGTTAATAAATTTTAAGTTTTCCTTTAAAACTCCCTTCCAATTCGTTATTTTTCACAAGAAAAAAAAACGATGTGTTTACTGGGATCGGAACATCTTCTCCACCTTCAATTAGTTTTCTACCGGATCCAGATTTCTTTGGAAGTCAATTAATAGTATTGACTAGCTATTAAGTGGGAAAATATGACGAATTCAGATTCTAGTTTCATTTGGCTATTAGAACATCAAGTCAATTTAGAGTTGTCCGGTATAATTGGAAGAGTCGAGAAGGTTGATTTATTCTAACATTTATTTACAAAAAAAACAAGTTATGTGAAAACTAATTCGTTGATGCTGAATACAAAACATTTTAAAAATGCACGATTCCCGTTTCAAATTTGTTTTAGTATAATTTATGAGATTGGCGGTTGACAATTCCAATGTCTTGGGAACAACAAATCAACAACTGCATTGGAATATGGGGCACAATGTCCACGTCGAGCGTACCATTCTTGTCCGTAGAATGCGATGAACATTCCGGTTCCTGAAAATCGACATGTTTTGGATAAAAGGCAAAAAGATTGTTCACTTACCAATCAAGAGGTTGAACCAGAGCGCTGTGTTCCAAGCGGAACGGTTTGTAATAAGACGTGAAACTGCGAAAAAGATGCCACCAAAGATAAAGTAAAGTACAAACATAACAGGGTAGAAACATCTGAAAGCCACACCAAACCAGTATTCGTGAAATACAGCGGAAAGAAAGAATACAGCCATTTGAGCGGCCTTCTGTCCTTTTCGTCCCGGATAATATGCAGCCAAATCACGAAAAACGTATGCGTAAAGCCAATCGTGGACTACTAGGTTCCAGTTTCTATAGTACTCGGCCATGTTAGAAGAGTTCCACCAGTTCTGAAATAGTTTATGATTTTATTGAACTACTTTAGCAACTTGTACTAGAAAAATTTACCAAATAAAACTGTCTATCAGCAAACTGCATCATCTCGGAAAAACAGTTCAGCCAACAATGTAAAAGTCCATAAAAAAGAGTGATGAGGCAAATGATTCCAGGAATGATTCCCGTAAATAGAGACAGTGCAATGGTGGACAGGCTAAGAGAAGTATAATCCTGGACATGAAGCCAAGGGAAAACCCATTGTGTGTAGGTAAGGTTAACAAATTCAATGATAGCTAGGCACTCTAAGAAATAGAGACCGGCAGCTTTCATGTCTCGTTTTTCGGTTCTGGAAGTTTTTGAAAATAAGATTAAACTTGAAGAGAAAGCAATTACCTGGGGTAGCTATCTCTGTAGATGAAAGATGGGCAAAATTGGTAGTAAAGGAATTGCTCAAGAGTTGGCCAAGCATTGATCTAAAAATGAATCATGGTCGGAAATGCTTTTCAAACGTTTTGATAAAAAATTCCAGATCCAAATCCTCATTCCCTCACCGTTCCCCCACTCTTCCTTATCATTGCTCTCGACCAGTTCTCTCTAATAAAAGAATGTACTTTCATTGCGATCCTTGTCTGGAAACAAATTAATTAGCCTTATTCCTCTCTAATTGCCATAGTTCCTTTCCACTTACCGTCTCACATGTGATGATGAAAGAGCATGCGCAATTAAGATTTGATTCGTAAAGAAACTTAAGTGGAAAATAGAAAAATGCAGTTAGGTAAGTAAGATATGTGGCGACAAATGGCATCTGAAAAAACCATAATTCTAGAGAAATGCCAAAAATTTTAAAGACTCACATTCGAAGGCAAATTGGTGTTTTTTGAAGGGATTGTGGACCAGTGTTGGTAGGCGAAGTAAACGCCGATAGTGCTCAAAAACATACCGGTCCAGACTGCCATTGTTGAGAAAAACTTTTCAAAGTTCCACCAGATCAACCAGGTATGGTGTAATGGCATTTTTTGCACGAGGATGTCATCAACTAGGGCTCGAAGGAAAAAAAGCAAGAATACTGCAGTGAAACAGTTGTATACGATTTTCATGTTACCATTTCGGAACTCGGTTCTGGAGAAGAAATAATAGAATACTTGTGTTAAGGATATATAGTAAAAATAAAGTGATGCTGAGAATCAAAGATTGGAATCTTCCGAAATTGAATACAACTCACGTTAATAACGACTCTCGAACTACAAAAGTTTTCTCCTTGAATCCTTTGTGCTTCGTCTTCACCGCAACACCCTCCTGATGCTCTTTCAGAATCACATTATTATTGTTCTCCTCTTTCAGGTCAATGGAACCCATGATTGAAATCTGTAAAATGTCAAAAGTATGGGAAAGTAACGATAGGAGGGTTGAGATGCCAAAGTGAGTGACTGCCGCCGAATTCGAATACACACAGAGACACACGGAGGTTCTCGTTATCAAACGGGTTTCCTAGGAAATGAAAGGAGAGGAGAATGGCAGGATAGGGGAGGATCATGGCATAGGATTTGATGTCTTGCTACTTAATTTCGACTGTTTCCAGTCTATTCAGTGTTTTTCCAGTCTTTAGTAGAGGAGGATTCTGGAGAATTCGGGAGAGGCGAAAGTTTCCGAGGTGTACGGAAGGAAAAAAGTGAGGGAGAATCCAAGTGGTCGAATCCGAGTGAAATGGGTCATTGAGGTGGGAGGAAGGAAGACTAGATGAGGGAAAAGAGGTGAAATGGGCGAGATGGGCATACAGAAACAAGCATATCCCTCCCCGTACTGTGGCGATTCGGATGAAAACGAGGGAGGTGAGGAAGCGGCAGTTACATTTAGGCCACCAATTCTTCTTCTGCTGCTTCTTTTACTTCTTTGGAGAACGTGAAGACGCATCCCCAATCCTGACAACTGAATACTCCGGAACGAAGAACAACAGGACGAATCGACTATTCGGTGCTAGAAGTGAAAACAAAAAAGATTCTAATCTAATTTAACCCGGGTTTTAAATCCCCGCTCGGTGTCTTTGGTATGCTTTGAACTGTGTAGCCTACAAGAAAGCTTTCTGGTGAGATCAAACACTGAACAAGTTAGAATATCTAAAGAGGTGTCAGGGGAAAATCACAGAATTTTTTAAAAATCTTTTGGTATACTATTATATTGTTTTTATTACTTTTTCCAGAATCTCGCTCTAGTCAATTTTTGTTTTTGAGTTTTTAGAACTTACATGTTCATGAAACAATCCAAACCAACTGTTTCTTTTCATCTTGGACGACCAGAAGTACTTTAATATTCCGAAACAAAAAAAAACAATTTGAAATGATTAAAATCCACTTCCACCTCATTATTTTATACATCACCACCCTAATTGTTAAATTAAATCACGTCGATTGTAGAGAAAAACAATATCATCTGGTAGAGAAAAATGTTCTCTATTTTAACCTTCACTTTTATGGAAAACACTCTCACTAATCCTTCTGCAATGCTGTAACTTCAATCACATTTCTTTACTAGTCTTTGAAAAACTTTCTGACTCTTTTCGGACAAAAAAAAATCGTCCACACAATTCTAAATTCTTCTCTTTGTGGTTAACTAATAGATCGATCCTCATCCATTTGAACAACAACCTTAAAAACAATACTCATCTGTACATTTTTCCCATTTTCTGAAAATAACACACAATTTCATCCACCTGATTTCTTTTCCCATCTTTTAATCAAACATCAAACATCAAGACGGCTGAAATCTTTTTTCCAGTCCAAAACCTGTGTACTTCGAAATAGTGTATATGGACTTACGTGGATTTTCATAATCTTCAAGATCTGGATTCAGCTGCACTTCCAAAATTAGGAAAATTTACGAATTGGTTCCTGATAAAAGCTTATGATCTCAAGAGAATTTTTGGAAAAAAGAGCAGCAAGTACAGATGATGTTTGATTATGAAGCAGCACATCTCAAAGTGTACTTGATTCCTTGAACTTTCAAATCGAGATCAAACAGATCTGTTGAATGACGAAAAAATGAGCAAAAAGCAGACTTTAACCAACATTTTCAGAAGTCTGGAAAAATGAAACACATCATCAAATTACCATAAGAATTACAACAGAACGGAATCCTAGACTTGAATTTCGAGCTCGATTATCTGAACTTTTGTAAGAGAAATCAAAAATATGTGAACTACAAAAATGTAACCACATATGATAAAAAGTTCGTCTGTAGACGAAAATTTGATATTTTTCATGGGAATCAAGATAATTGAACTTGAAGTTCAAGAAACGGGTGGCGTTCTGTTACAAGTTTTGTAGTACTTCAAAGAAACCAAACTTCAGAGCGATTGGCTAGTGTTGTTCTGAATATTGAATTCATTGAAACCTTTTTTCCCAAAGCTATGATCTAAAAAAATTTGAAACCTCAGAGAACTTTTCAGAGTTTTAAATAGTTCCAAATATGATTTTATAAAAATCAAGTATTCCTCTTCGAAAAATTATTGTGCAACTTGAGACATCCTATTACAGCCCAGGTGCAATTTTAGATTTAGCAATAAACTACTACATTTTAAACCTGAATTATCAGTTTGGCTGTTTACCTCTTCTACTACATTATGTTTACACGAAACATTTTGTTTCTTGTAATCAAACTCAAGTCGTAATTGACTACAAAATGCTCAGCAAAAAATTGATAACGGAATTGTAAGAACAATAGTTGTGCTAGTAATTTTTACGAATTTCACAAATTGAAACCGTAGTTTACTACTTATTCTTAAAAGCTATAGCATTTGATATTCACAAAAATCCGGACTGAGTTTCATTTACACGTGTATTTATGCTCATTTTCAAAAAAAAACTTTAATTTTCCCTTCCATTTTGAATTTATTTTCCATAAAATGAAACACATTATCAAATTACCATAAGAATTACAACAGAACGGAATCCTAGACTTGTATTTCGAGCTCGACTATCTGAACTTCTGTAAGAGAAATCAAAAATATGTGAACTACAAAAATGTAAGCACATATGATAAAAAGTTCGTCTGTAGACGAAATTTTGATATTTTTCATGGGAATCAAGATAATTGAACTTGAAGTTCAAGAACCGGGTGGCGTTCTGTTACAAGTTTTGTAGTACTTCAAAGAAACCAAACTTCAGAGCGATTGGCTGGTGTTTTTTCTGAATATTGCTTTCTCAACTACAAATTCAGATATACGGCTCAGACAGCTGAAATGTGTTGTTCTTTGTTTTTTAAGCCACCCCCAGTGCTATTTTAGAGGCCGGAGGCGAAAGCCACTTCCGAAATGAGTGCACATGGATGAGGTCTTGCTCAGAATACCAGTTACAGCCATGCACGCACTCTTCATTAGACGCAGAGAAACAGAGTGCACTTTCACTTTTCATGTTACCGCCTAGCACGCCTGGCCGGGGGCGCTGACGTGCGTGTCGCCGCGCCGACCATTTTGCTCCTCGAAAATTCCTTCACTCCCTTGTCTCTCTCTCTCTCTCTCTCTCTCTCTCTCTCTCTCTCTCTCTCTCTCTCTTTCTTTCTTCCTCAGTTGCACTTTGGGCTCGCGGAGCCGCAAGTCCTCTCTTCTCTCTTCGTTGAACATTTGGTATGATTGGAGACTGGCACCACCGCCGTGTGTGCGTTCCAAAGTGCATCCTGGCGCTCTGAATGAGAAGATAGATGATGATGAAAAAAGAAGATTTAGAGGAAGTGGAAGTGCATCTGAAATGAAAAACAACAAGTGGATAAAATGGCTCGAATTATCCAGATATGAGATTTAATTTCTCACTGAAGCTGATGTTTTTTAAATCATCAAATATGATACGCTGATCCAGTTTTAAGTGACACATTCAACAAAACATGTACATGTGTGCTGTTTCAAAGGCTACAGGTGCATTTTTCTGTCCTATAACAAAAATTATAGTGCCTGGCACCAAAAATACAAGCCAAATTTTTTTGTTTTTAATCTCCAAATTCCGTACTAAACATCTTACTACCTTTTTGATTGTTATACCTTTTATGACTTGAAAATATTAAACAAAACCACCGGCATGATAATTTATCTCCGAACGTTGATATTGCGTTTCTTTACCACCGAATCCAATTTTCCCGTATTAAAAAACCTAATTGGTTCAAGTATATAGTTTCTTCTATATATTTAAAATTTCGATGGTGACCACCCATTGTGTTTTCGTTTGAATAACCTTTTCCGAATCCTCCTCTTGCTTTTACTGGGCTAGCCCTTTTGCACTTTCTCAAAAGTTTAGATAAACTTAAGAAAACTGTGCAAACATCTTCTGTCTGATTTTATGCGGTCTGAAATTGGCTTAATCTTCAGAAAAAAAGGCGTGGCTTTTGAGAGTGATGAGGGAGGGGGTGGAGCGATGCAGAATTAGAAAAGGCGGAGCTTGGAGAAGGAGGCTGAAGATAGCTAGATTGGTCGGAGCTCCTCATTCGAGCTCAGAACCATCCAACACCCCGATTTTCCAACTTACTGACTCCGAGTATAAGTTGACGATCTTCTAGTAGTAGTATAAATACCTCTGACAAGACCAAAGACCCCGTTGGTCATTGAAACAGTGCAAGAACCCTCAACTTGCACTTTTTACTACTTCCTCTCAAGAAAGGTTATTTCGAACAAGTTTTTTTCTCTATTACTGACGCAGCGACTAGTATAGTACAATCAGTCATCCCTTCCATTATTCTGTTTCTCTCGATTCTCATTTTGATGTACAATCCATTTCCCTGTTTCTCATGTCTGATTCATCGAAGAATTGTACGAAGGGCCGAGAAAGAGACGAAAAACACAGATAAAAAATAGCTGCGCGTTCGTTCGTTCTCTCGAGGCGTTCTAATATTTGCGAGAGAAAGTGCAGACTGTCTGGTTTTGAGATAGGGCCGTGACACACAATGCATCAGTCTAGAAAAAAAAGAAGAAAAAAGAAGGAGGAGAGAATTTGTGGGCGGAGCCTTCTTCTTCTTCTGATCTTTTAGCTCGTTCATTTCTCCCTTGAATGCTATTTCCTTTCTTCCCCTTGCTATATATTCAGCCGTACTGTCTGAAAATAACATCTGAGGTAGTTTGCAATGCTGTCGACGTAACTGAAAAGTCAACATCATTCCAACTTCCTCGGCTGTTCAAAAGGCTAGACATTTTAAAGGAATGTTCTAGAATTTGTGTTCTAGATCTGAAAGGTGAGTTTAAAAAAACCAAATAATTTTTGCAGAGTTGGAAATTCGATTCAATTTCGTAACCTTTTTCTTTTGTTATATGTTTCCCCCAGACAGTCCAACAAACGATTTTATGAACTTTATTAACAATAAAACGTTATTAAAAAACAAACCACCTAAAGCCCCTTCTCCACCTACGGATCCAGCTCCACCACGTCATCATGCAACAGTGCAACTCGCTGCTCGTCAGTTGTCATATCCGTCAGCTTTTTCACCAACCTCCTCCCTCGATTCATGTCTTGTCTAGTCAGTGCGGGTTCAAGAAATTGTGTGTTCCATTTGTCAACTTTGTTCTTCCACTGAAAAGAATCTATTATAACTTGAAAGATACATTGGGAACGACATAAAAGGCAGAGCGTTTTGAAACAGGTGGAAAAAAACAAACTTACATAGTATTGCCCATGGGTTCCAATGATTGCCTCGACACCACACATAGCGTCTTCAAAACACTGTAAAATATTTTTTTTTTGGAAATGGTTTGGTCAATAAAAAGAATATTTAAAATATTAAAATATGATAAACGCGGGTTAACAAGCCTCAGCAGAACAATTCGATTTTTTTAATGTGAGGTAGATTTTCATGCATGCCAAAAATCGCTCTTTTGACACCATTGAAATCGAAGTTTCTGTTTTCCCCCAAGTACTCACATGTTCCATACAGCTCTCAAACAATGATTTGTCATATGCACTATCTATCTTGACATTCAAAAAAGAAACCAGTGGTTTAATCATTGTTCCCTGTGAAAAAATACCAAATTCTTGCAAATTCTCAAAGTTTACCAGTCTACCTGAATGAATACAGTGAAAACTATCACAATTAAAGTTGTGGAGATCATGATTGGCTTTGCGGGGACCACTTCACCATCTGAAAGTTTTACAACAAAGTTTTTTTTTGGCCGAGGTTCCATTTTCACCTATTGTTAATACCAAACCAAAACAAATCGCCCCACGGAGCCCACCAAAAGCCATAATTGTCTGATCCCTGAGTGAGATTTTTTGCATTCTCCATTTATTGGCAATCCAGGAGAGAATGAATACTACTGGAATCAAAATCATGAATTTCGGAACCGTTAACGTGCTAACCTAAGAAACGAGCAGCAAAACAAGTGATGACCGTTACTATCGCAAACCCAATATCCCACGTGTGATCTTTGGAAAATATGGAGAATCCCAAGAAAACAAAAATGACTGCTTCACAACTGAAAAAATAATTGCTTCTGAAAAATTACCTGTCAATTTCTCACCATGACGATAAAGTTTTCAATGTGTATTTCACAGTAATATCTGCCCTTTCCTCCATACTCCCTGTTACATAGGATTTCATACAGATACCACATACAACGATTCTGTAATCCTTGTTTTATAACTCAAGTCTATTTTGCATTTTCAGTATTTTGAAAAATATCTTACCCCAAAATTCCAGAAACATGCACAATTTCAGAGCACAGATAAGCCATGTATGGCACTGTAATACAAATGATAGGCTGCAAAACTGACACATTGGCACTCCATCTTAAATTTCGCACAGTTAGGTCCCTGTAAATGAAGACTAACTACAGCAGAGAGCCACTTACTTCACTCCAAGCGCTGCTAGAACTGCGAAAACTACTCCAACAAGAATACCACCTCCTGAGACAAGGAAAAAATTCATCATGGACATTGTATAATCTTGATAGATTAAGTGAGCTTGTCCGATACGGACCATGGAATGGAACGAGTGATAAAGGACCTGGAAAAATAAAAACATAGCTGAAAATAACTGTGGACAATCTCAATTCAAAAAAAAAAACTTACCACTGTAACTGCATCATTAAGTAATGATTCTCCGAAAACTGTGATATATAAAAGTTTGTTCACATGAATTTCTTCGAAAACTGAAAAAAAAATTGAATTCTTTATAATTTCTTGATATTGCTTCAAACCTGATAGAACAGCAACCGGATCCACTGCAGAAATTACTGTTGAAAATAACAAAGTGTCCACAATAGTGATATTGAAGTCATAGAAGTTTTGACAGGCAAAAATGAAACAACCTTCAAAATAATTATATTAACTATCTATTGATAAAGAGAGATTAACGATACTTGTCAAAAAGATATTAATCACCGTTCCGGCAACGGCGAAAAGAGAAATCGTTGTAATATTGCTGATAAACGCCTTGTTCGGCATGAAATATCCAGCCTCGAGTACAATAGGAGGTAGAAGATAAAGAAAGAAAAGATCTGGAAATTTGAATTATCAGAAAATATATCGTGTAACTTTGAATGTAAATGTAATTTGAATGTAATTTGAATGTATTGTCATGCAGCTTTTCAGAAGCTTGTGACGATTTTTTCAGTTGTAGATCAATTGAAGCTTACCGGGATGCAAATAAAGATCAACCGTCCACATCTCATATATTGTGAAACCAGCAAATAGTCCTAACACAATCAAAACTGCAGATTCAGGAAAGAAATGTCTAGCTCTTGGCATTCGGTGAAAACCTGAAAAAAATTCTAGAACTTTCTATTTTGAAGAGTAAATAACTAACATTTTGTATTCAAACCAAACTACACAAACTTTTGAAACATTTAGTTCAGAAACAAAACCCACCAATTTTTGCACCAACAATTAGTAATAGCCATAATCCAAGAAGTGTCGGGGTTTCCGGTCTGTTCCATTGCATAACCGATAGGGACCTCATGATTTACGACGTGAAAACTATAATATAATAGAAACTTTCAATGAACAAAAATTAGGAAGTGATAAAGATATGAAGATGACGTACCTTCCGTGTTTCTTACCTTCTGATGTCTGCTGCTTATTCTTTTTCTTGTTTAGATTTTGTTCGTAAAAGTGACAAAAAGAGTGTCGGCAGATTCAATCAAATAGTCATCGCTTTGCCTCTTCTTCTCTTCTTTCAATAAGTTCAAGGTAATCATAAATGATATGATCACTGCGATAAACTATCTTTTACAAGGCATGCAATATACTAATAGTTTTTGTTTTCAGAAATTAGTGTTGTTATATCAATGAATGGCGAGGCGGTGAGATACATAGAGTATCAGAGTATGGTCATCAGTTTTGAGAAGAGTAATCAACCAAAACTAATCAATCGAGTTTTCATACCCGTGTTCGCGTCCCTTGTCCGCGCCCTTGTTTATTTTTATTTGTTTCCCTATTCCTCTCATTCTAAGTGAAGATAAGAAAATTGTCATTATATTTTTCAAACTCGAGAGCATTGTCAACAAAAATAGAAAAGAATTAGCAAGCCAGAAAAAATAAAAAATGTTTAGCTTTTTAAATGCGAGTGCAGAAAATAAGGCACAGATTTGAATGTAATCTACGTTTTTTGCTAACCTGGCTGATTTTATCAGCAGTTGCTTGGTGAGTTCAACATTTGATACTGTAAAATTTTTTAGTTTTTAAATGGATCATTTTTAACTTTCTTTTTTGATAATTCCGAGGTTAGAGATAAATTCAGTTTGTTTTTGTTACTTGTGATCGAGACATTTCTGATTTTTTTTATTCAAAAAATTGATATACAATAATGTATGTGGCAAAAGTTCCGAACCAGTTTCATATTGACAATTAAAAAAAATGAATTTCCCAACACATGAAACAACCAGCTTGCAGCATCATTTATGTCTTTGTCGTTTTTGGCTCACTTTTGAACAAAACGGTGCTTCCCAGCAACAATGTTCCCAGCACAATCCCATATATCACAGTACCATCTGATTATAACGTGTTCTTGGAATTCAATTCAACACCAAGTGCAATGAGTCGGGTAATAACTTCTGTATTCACGGATAACTTGAAATATTCCGAAAGTACATCTTCCAGGAATACACAGGAAGCATCCGAATGAATTTTGTCGCTCGGGATGTAACGCAGCAACTTTTCTTTCATCGAGGTGAAAAAATCAAAATATCTTCCATAACCCTGGAAGACTCAAATGGAACAACAAGTAGTCCCACTGCAGGAGCTTATGATAAATCGGTGAGTTCTCATTTTTCATATTATCCCGATACCAAAAGATGGAAGTGTGGAAGAGAAACGTTTTCTATCTAAAATTAAAACAAAACGCAATCTAAAAATTATTTAGATTTCAGAATTTTTTTTCTCTCAATTGTTTCACCATTCAAACATTCCATCATTTGAGTTTTTGGGGAGAAAGAGCTAGTAAATAGACGAAAAGCAGTTGTAAAAGAACGAAAATAACTCTGAAAATGAAAGCATCTGTTGAGGTTACTACTGTAGTTGTAATTGTGAGACTATCAGCCACGTTCAATTTTTTATTTCAGTACAACACGTTGATTGGCAATTCTAATTATATTTGTTTCAGACCGGAGTTCAAGCATATATTCCAATTTCGAACCTGACATCTAAAGAAAACTATATCCTTCGAATCGATTTTAAGGGTGAACTGGATTTTCAAAACGGTGGTCCCGAGCATTTAGAATACACTCTGGAAAATGGGACAACGAAGTAGCGTTTTCGGAACCCCATACACTTAAAAAAAAGCACGTGAAAGTTCATCTATTCAGATACTCGATAGCATTTGGAAACTCGGTGACCGCTTCCTCAGGCCTTCGATATTTGATGCCTTGTCTTGATGCGCCCGACTTTTCTGCAGTTTTTAATTTCAATATTCGTCATTCGCCCAGGTATCGAGTTGTCTCCAATTTTCCTGGACAAACTCAACAGTAAGTATATACTTTAGTATTAGAACAAAAACACAAACTACTCTTTCAGGTCTATATTGCACACGGCAACCATATTCAATGCGAGCTTTGCCATGGATCCATCGCAAGTGGCGCTTGCCTTGATTGATATTCAATTGATGCCAACGACAGTTCAACAGAGCGGTTTGACAGTAAACTTGATAATTCGAACGGTTCTGTACGCGCAAAACATGAAATTTCAGATTAACAAATACTACCGAAGAAATGTAGTAAACACTATTTCAACTGAGCGAATCATCCAATTTATGGCAGCAAGATCTGAATTAATTGGGAAAGTTGGTAAGTTGATTGGTTAATATGGTTTTTACTTTTTACACTTTCAGATGTGCTAGCACTGCCTTTGCTATCAGCAACGCAGCAACCTGGAATAACTTTTTACAATGAGAACGATGTGATCAGAGAAAATGTGGACTTGGGATCAATTGGTCCGATTTGATCATATTTATTATTTATAAAAGGATTTTGTGAAATTAAATATTTTTAAATTAAAGTTTTTTGGTATTCAGAAATATTCTTTTTTTTTTCGAAAGGACCAGTACATTTTTGATTTTAGTGTACTGGAACACAATTAAAACTTACAAGTTAAAACTGCCACTATGTTTTCAACCACTTCACTTTATATTATACTAATTGAATGTGAAAACTCAAAAGAATAGAAGAAAAGAAGACGTTGAAAAACTGGTTGAGCAGAATCAACATATAATAGACTTTGCGCCGCCGATGTCGGCGTCAACGAAAGAGAGGAAGACACGAGCCAATTGATGCGAAGGAATGAGGTCAACCTAGGCGTACTTTTTCCACCCACCCCCAAAACATGCATGAATAAGACGCGGCAAAGGGGAGACGGTGTCGGTCAGTTGGATGAAAAAGTGACACATAGGTGTGTAATTACAATTGCGGCGCACGGTGGTTGGCAGAATGAGCGAATCCCGTTCCTTCTAATTCTTCAAAAGTACCCAAGGCTTGTAATATCAAAAACAAAAAACCAAACCCAAAACCATGTATCAAAGATCTGTCTAGATTTTAGAGAATAAAAGAGTCTCTAGAACAATTATGTTCGGATAAACTACCGCGTAGCAGCTTCTGTGACGTTCTAATGTTTTCCTGTTGTTTACTTTTTATTCTTCTATTTTTTTTTCTCTTTACGCTTGCTTCTGTTCTTCCCAAAAAATCTTTGTTTCAAAATATTTCAATGTGAGCTTTTGTCGTAATTCACAACTTTTTCTGTTCCCCATATTTCCTTTCATATTCGCGGCGGTGAGAAACCCTCAGGCTGGCACCTCGTTATCCCATATACGGATCTTATCTAATAGTCATTCATTGTGTGACACCTTTTTCGTTCATTGGGGTGGAAAAAAAGACAAAACGAATGAAGCACTCTTCAGTTTTAATTCACAACCCTATTGTTGCTTTTTCGCGCCTTTTCTTGTTGACACCTCCCTCAATTTGATCTGATATCCATCGCTCTACCGATTCGAGTTTTAAATTATTTTCTTGCGATCTTCTCTTTCGTGTTCACTTGTTTTCCAGGCTTGTCTCTAAGCATTCTTTAGAAGAGTGAATATTGAAGTGTTCATTTTCAGACCACTAGAAAATAAGGGTCTGGATTTTCGGTAGATACTCAAGTCTAGCAGATTGCTTTGCTTTGGGTCTAGAAATGTGTAAAATTTGAAAAACGTGAACAGCTTTCTCAAAATATTTTGCAGATTTTTCTGCCAAGTTGCAATTGTGTTTTTCATGTTTTTCGTACTATCTGCATTCTTCCAGTTAGAAAAAACATGAAAAAATCTCAGAAATTCAAACATTCTGGCTATGAATGGTTTAACAAGTTTATAGCAAATCAAATGGTTCACACCTCCCGGTTCTCAAAATTGACCAGAAAACGCAAAGTGTTTGTTTTTGTTAGTTCAAAACATACTGTAAGTCAGGTACCAGGTGTGAAATCTGTAATCAGTCATTTATTTTTTATATTTTTTTTCGATTCGTCGATCTCCTTAGTTTTTGAACCCGCTAATTCTCTATTAAACTATTTTTTTTCTACAGATCCAATTTTTTTCAATTTTTCTTTATCTTGAAGTTTGTAATTTCGTTTTTCAAAAATTAAACTTGTATGATGTCAACCTGTAATGACATAAATATATTTTACAAGAGTGTCACACTCATCGACTTCACAATATCAGAACGGTTTGACGATCTCTTTAGGACTCAGATTTTCTTTCTTTTTTGTTTATGCCCTTACCCTTCTGCCCCTCACCTTTTCATATTTAGAAAATTATACCAATTTTCACATATTTCTTCAATATGACGTGATTCCTTTAGTCCTTCTCACCATATTCTTTGACACTAGCTTTCTTCTTTGCCCTCCGCTCTCCTTTTCTTTCCAACTTCCACCCATAAATAATGATAATATGAGAAAACGTCCCTCAGTTCCCATCACTTCATTCATTCTCATTCATAGGCACTCGCTTTCCTTGGGTGATAACGTACCCTTCGAGGATTCCCGACTGGGAAAAAATATGCAAACCAAATAGATTGGTCACATACTCACCCACAAAAAAGTATATACTGGGTGAAACAATAAGTTCAGTGGTCTGAAAGGGAATCCATTGTGTCCCTTTAAAAAAATAAGTCGGAGCGCCCCCACGAGATCCCTGAGTAAAAAGTCTTAAAAAAATGACTATCTGTGACTTATTCAAAGGACACCAGGGTAGATTCAAGACATGCAGACAAGAATCCTTTTTCCATCATTTTCTGATTAAGAAAACCTAGCAAAAAATAAAAAAAAGTATTACCTGATGAATAAATCACAACATTTGAACACCTAGGATTCAAATATTCCGCCGTATGTTTTCCTTTTTTCTTAGTCTGAAGAGTTTTTCTGCAAGTTCCTGATTCTGACGTGACTAGGGAATTTTCAGAAGTCAGTTTCTTTTGCGAAAAACACAACTTGTTTTTTTTTTTGATAAATTTAAAATCTGGAAAAATTTAGGAAACATTTGATGACAATCGTATTTTCAAAAATGGAACGATTTGATTTTTTTTTGTCCTACTTTGTCATTTTTTTAGTCAAGTCAGAATTGCTTGAAATAGCTATTGAATATCATCGGATCATGAAAAAGCTTCAACAAGACATAAAAAACCTTCTGATTATTATTAGCTCAATATTTCACACATCCTTGCATTTCTCTCTGTTTAACAAGAATTACAAAACAAAAACGTGCCTTGCCGCAAAACATGTTTTCCATTTTTCACATTTACTTACTCAAAAAAACAGAAATCTTCCGCGCAGAGCTTGAGGCGAAGCTTGATTGGCTTCGTTTACTATTCATTTTTAATAAATATCCGGCGGCATACTGTAACATGTGATTAGTTATACGATAATTGTTATTATTTTCGACATTTCTTCTCACATCAGTTATTTTTCTTCTAGATTCTCCTTCTTGAGACCGAGCCCGCCTCCCAACAGGCAAAATGAGCAAGAAATGAGCCACTTGAAAATCGTGTCGAGAGGTTTGTTTCGGTCCCTCGGATCTTGATTTGGCGCTTTTCCTTTGCCGTCTCTCATTTCAATTTCATCAAAGTGGTGGTGGCGTTAAATTTTTTCTGTGGTAGATTTTACGAGTGGTAGGGTATTACGGTACACCTCATCACATTCTCTTCGGGTTTCCTTCTATTTGTCATCTATCTCCCCCGAATTCTAATCAAGTATACAGTAGATTTACGACATTTGTCATAGAAGGGAGCCATCCATCCGCTTGATTGGAGTTTTCCGACTTTACTTTTTCCTGACGTACCTTTCAACAATCATAAAACACTTTGTTCATGCAAAATAGCAAACTTTTTTCTCCCCGCATTCTTTACCCCCCCCCCCCCCTGTCCTTTTTAAGTTTGTTTCTTTTTCCCCCACTAAAAACTAGTCAACCAATTTTTTACTCCTCTTTTTGCTCTCCCGTCTTTACTTCCATTTTTTGAATAGCCAAAAACGGAAAAGCACGGAAGCCTGGCTGATTTCTTTAAATATTGGGTACGGACATTTTACCTTTTCTTTTTCCTTTTCGCACCGCAATTTTTTGGCGGCCCGACCCGCCTCTTCGCATCATCATCAAAATGAAATGCAAATTTGCCTCGAGACTACTACAACCAGCCCGTTTTCTATTTGAGGCCGGGACGTCCGTCCTTCAAAATTTCTTGACGGTTACTTGATTTGTGAATGTTTTGATATCCCTATATTTTCTAGTACAGTGAAGTTTTTAAAAAACGTTTTTCAACAAATACAATATTGAAATTTCCATTTCACTGTTCAGGCCTTTTTTGAGCTTTACGTTTTATAAATATATTACCGTAATCTTTTCAATTTTTTATACTCATTTTTTATACTCATTTTTTATACTCATGGAACGGCGTCGCATATTATAGAATTCTGATATATATTTTTTCTGAATTTTTGTAAATGCTTGAGTTGTTTGAAATTTCGATATGATTCACAAAGACGCATTTTTAGGCATGTCAAAAAACGTGTTCAGCCATCAAAATGTAGACTTCTATATTATTGATGTTGAAAACTTGGAAATCAGCATTTTAAACGTTTTTTAATCAAATTTGGTCCCGGGACCGGTTTCTAGAATGAGAAGTTCAAAATTATGAAATCTAAAAAATCCGCCTTGAAAAAAGAACATTTATATTAACAACATACAAGTTGAAATAAATTTTTAAAAAATTTCAAAATGCAAATCTTTTTTTTAATCAGATTTTGAACGTTTGCACTTGCTTACACAAACGTTTTCCACATCCAATCTTTTGTACTTTCGTTTCGAAAATTCGATTCTCTTCCATTTTTTAACACATTTAACATTCAGGAGAAGTTCGACAATTTCTAGAAAAACACGAAAAAAGACAAAAGAAAAGGGTGTCACTTGCACGCGTGCTTTTCCTTCTTCTCCTCCTTCCAAAAAAAGCTCCGAGGAGGTCTCTAACCGAGACATTGACATTGAGTTTGTTTGGTTTACTCTGACTTGTTGCATAGGAGAAGAAAAAAAAAAGTATCCCTTGTTTAGTGACCACGGCTGACCGAGGTGTTGGAAAAAAGGAGGAGAAGGGCGAGGAAGAAGTGAAAGATTGAATGAAATAGGGTAGGCAAAAAACAGGAGGGAAAAATGCGAAGAACGAGAGTTGCGAATTGAAGCCGAAGCGGTGTCAGCAAAAAGAGTAAAAATAAATGCTCCTTAGAACTCACATTTTTTCGCTCCCCCCTTTTTCGTTTTCTATCTTCGGTGCTCCTTCAAAAGGTTGAGGTCACTCTTGCTTATTCATAAATACTTGAAGCTTTTGTTGAATCTTTTTTTGCTTGTCGCTCCCCTCATCGTTTTTAGTCGCCTCCTAAAAAAACGACCGAAAAAATGAAGAACCGGCATGGATATATACATAGTTGGTATTTTTCCGTGATACTTGTCATTTTTTCATTTCTCCCGTGGGATCAATGTGTTGCCGGGCCCCTATCTCCGGCTGTTGGCCGTCTTTTCACACTTGTTTGTTTTGTTTTGTCTTCGCCCCTCCTACTCGATGACTTTAGAACTTTCCAGACCAGACGATGCTTTTCCATTTCTACATTTTTTTTTCGCCTTCTCAACCCCTTCTTCATCCCATGACAGCAAAAAGTAACCCGGGTTTTGATAGTGGGAAGGATTAGTTGAGAGTCATGTCCCAAAGGCAAGTGTCGTCACCATAGTCCTTGTTATTTTTTTTGGGAATCCAGTTTTTTGTTTCACAGTAACACCGCCAAGTTGTAAGTCTAGTGTGACGGAAACCTAATCACATTAGGTAGGGTTATTAAATGTTGAGACATTGGGAAAAGAGGAGAAAGTTATTAACAATAATCCAATTTCTGCTTTCTGTGATTAAATTGGAATGGCTTTAGGACCCCGGTTTTGATCTATATATTCCACCTGGTCTCGCTTTTCAGCATTCCAGTTCGCATTTATTCCCTTTTCTAGCTTTTAGGTCTTTCATTTTAAGCTCAATTTAAACCAAATCGTAAGCAAAATTGTGATCTCGAGAAAATCAAGAAAACAAGAATCAAACAAAGACATGTAATTTTCTCCAGCCTCGATTTTCCCCTTATTTCACACAATTGTGTTTTTCGCTACCTTCTCTTAAAACATAAACTTGGGAAAGAACTAAAGCGTTTTAAAGCACTAAAACGTTTTACCATGACTCCTTTTCCAAACTAATTTCCGCTGGAAAATTGCTTGGTACTTTTGACGAACTGGTACTTTTTCAGGTTCCAAGAGTTCATTTGATTCATTAAAGAATCTCCACTGAAGGAACTAAAACTCTTGGATTTTGCAATTTCCTATGAGAAATTTAATGAAAGTACTGTTGATTGGGTTGAGAAATTTAGGCTTCTCATTTTCAGAACTCAGTCAGTTTATAATTTCCGGTTTGTGAAAAGAAAATGGTTTTATTTTTTGGGTTTTTTTAAAGTAGAGAAAAATCATTTTCTAGATACTTGAACAGTTTAACAACGCGAATTAATACTTTCCTAAAACTCAGGACAATGTTTTTTTTCGGAATAACTTCAAAATGTATTTCCTAATTCCAATCTCCGCTTGTTTCCGAAGTCGAAAGATCTTTGGGCCACTCAACGTGAATCACATCCTAATACTAGTCATTAAATATTGATAAAACTCTGACGACGACGTGCCTAACTTTTTTCAAGTTGAGGTGTGTGTCAGACATCTTAAAACCTATAAAACAACAAAAACTAGTCAAAAATCAGACAAAAACACTTGATTTCGTCGGGATCCGCGTTTCGCTTACCAGGTAATTGTTATGGTAATTGCAATTGTAATTGTCCACTCGAAAAATGTCGCAGAGAGAAAAAAAAACGCACGAAGACGAGGAAGAAGACGCATTTTCCTGCATTTGGCGTTAACCAGACTAATTTAATCACAAACTTTCTTATTCGTTGCGTCTCACTTTTTTGAGCCCGGAACAACTTGACTCTTTTATCACGTCATTTTGGCATGAATCTTTTTTCTATTTTTTAACTCAACTTTTTTCAGAAGATTTTCCTTAAAAATATTTCTAATGAATTCAATGTAATTCATTTAATGGTGGTGACCGGTGCGAAATATGAATAAATGAAAAGAAGAAAGAAAACGGTGTAAATCAGAAACCCGATAACGATCCTTCTGAGATTTTTTACGCGATTAACTCTTCGTGAAAAAAAGTGTTGCGTCAAAAAAAAGCATTAAGATATTTTCGAAAAAAGTGACCCTTCGCCTTTTACTGGGTTCGCTTCCTTTTCTGCCCAGTGCAGAATATGAAACATAATTATGTTGGAAGAGAAGAAATTGTGTCCTCGGGGGTGGCTAGTCTTCGAAACTTTTTTTTACTCCCTATCTCTGCTTCTGGTAGTCATACACCCTTCTGATCATCAATGATTTTTTTCACTAAAAAAGTAGTTTCCTGAATAGAAGGAACAAGTGTTTATTGTGTGTTTGTCCGCGCCGAAATAAATCCCTAAATAGCTCTTCATTGTTTGCTATAACCACCGTCGTCGGCGTCGTCCCCAACACTATTCAAAACGTACACGTTTTTGAATGGGTAGAGAACGTTTCAAAGAATAAGAATAGAAGAAGAAGTAGAAATTCAAAGTTATGGGTTTTTTCCAGAAGCTGGTTGCGTTATATACCTGAGTATGTCTACAAGTTGAGAATATACTATACTAGGTATACTTATTCTTGCAACCAAGAGATATGTGAAACATTTTTCCATGAATATTCAAGTAATGGTCTTCTAGACAGAATCTGTTAATCTCAAAAGTCTAGTGTTACCTTTCTTCTGCTCTTGTTGGAAACCCTATGAAATTTCAACCGCTCCACACCCCAAACCCTCTTTTTTTCTTTTGCCAATCAGTACAAACATTACACGACATGTCCAAAAAGGGAGTGCATCAAAACGCGTCACAATCAAAAACTCTGGTTTGTTTAGGGGTGTAGGTTTCCGGTTTTGGGTGCTCAAATCAGTTGAAATCCTTGACTATAGTGAGTCTTGCGTAAAGTTGTATTTTTCTTTTTTTTTCTGGTTTATTGACGTTTTTCTTAGACAAGCTGATACGTCATAAATTTTCTAGAAAATTTTCCGTGGAGATATTTCCTATCGGAACGCAAAAATGCCAATTTATTCCCGATTACCGATTCAGCATAAATTAGCTCATACCTAGAGAACATTTACTTTTCCCCATTTTTACGATAGATTTATGTGATACCACATTAAATATATTTTCTTCCTCTTTTATTTTTTTTGCTAGAAAAAAAAGGCAAAAACCTTGTTTTAAGACCAAGTACATCGTTCTACTAAGGCATCAGAACCATATGGTAAGGGATTAGTTCAGAATGAGGCGGAGGCCTAACTTTTGATGTAAGCTTCGTTTTCCCGTCATTCAAAGTGTTAGATTACCCCACTGGCAATATTTTAAATGGGTTTTCCACCAAAAGCACAACTCACATTGTCTTCTCCAAAATTGACATTTTATTCAGTTATAAAACGTCAATGGAGTCCATGTAATTCTGTTTCCGCCTACACGTTATCACAAAATTCAGGATATTTTCTATGTTTGTTGTATGACCTTTTGTTGATCAATCTGTCTCCAGAGACAGTTCTATTAAGTTCCCCACACACCGCAACGACCCGAAAACGATTTATCTTCTCATGCGAACAGACAAAAAACAGTTTTTTTGGGGTGGAGAGGGACGTGAAGCTGTGTAAGTTTGTCGTGTTCAAACATTAGATTGACTGAAAGAAGTTTTGGAATGCCTTTTTGTCCTTTTTCGTATATGTTTTCTCGTCTTGAAAGTTTCTGAAGATCATTTCCCTTATAGAGCTTCTTGAAATTATCAAAAGTTTGTCAGAAAAGGCATTTGTTCCTAACTTCAAATACGAGCATATATATTACTGTAGATCATTTTAATTATATCAGCTACACAACTTTAAAACTTTTCCTTTTAAAAAATTCACTATTTTCAGTTTTACACATCTGATAATTATAAAGCAAACTGTCGCAGACTTTCTTTTTTTGAACTCCTTTTTAGGTAAATTTTCTTACTAAAATTTCGAATTGTATTTGAATTTTTTATTTTTCGTTTCGACGCTAAAAAAGTTTCTGTTGCAAATTTTAGAATCTCGTAGCTTTTTGAACAACCGATAACGGAATAAAATTACTCGGAAAACCTGTCACGTAGATCTAAAAAAGCAGATTTTCGTAGCAAAAAATGTTTTCAAAAATTTGGGTGACACTGCAGTGTTTCTAGATTTCCAAAACTTCTCAAACGAACCATTCCAATTTTTAGAGCAAATTATAATAGATATCTTACCATCTTTTAGGTTTTATTTTCTAATCTTCCTATTTCTAGATGTCCGAGCACCAGTGTCAGTCACGATTGTGTCCCTCTCTCCCTTTCCAACTTATGTATATACAGATATCCAATTAACGGTGTCACTTTTCACATATCCCTTAGTTCATCTTCGCTTTTCCCTTCTTCTAACTTCTGCAGCAGCATGTCGTCACATTCCATTCAAAAAAGGGGGCATTTTTCGGTTGATACCTAAACCAGGCCGATAGTTAATCATTTTATCGTTGTTCAACCACCACCATGTTTCTTGATTTACACTTCTTGTTCCCCATCTCTCAACCATTGTTTTATGTCATCAATCTCAGATTTGACAGTTTCAGTGTTATCATGTCGTCTGGTAATCGTCAGGCACCGATGCCACCACCGAAGCCTCGAAACCTTGGACGTGGTCAGTTTTATCATCAAGGAGGTACGTCACTTTTTAATTAACTATTCGTGCGTTCTAATATACTTTTTTGCTGCATTCCTCTTCTCGATATCATAAATTATTTTTGACATTGAAAGAAAAAAAAAGAAGAAAAAAGAAGAAAAGTCATAAAACTTTTTATTTCAGAGCACTCTTTTCTTTTTTTTTCTTCATTCCTACTGTGGGTTCTAGACTCAAGATCCAGGGTGTGCAGAAGTTTTACATCCAATTTTGAAAAGTGCTCCTGAGTTCTTTTTTCAATTTTAAGACATGCTTTTGCTCTCACTTTCAGTGTGACGAGAGCACACCAAGACGACGACGACGACGCTCACTCATATTTTCGGGGGTGAAGAAAGAAAGTAGGAGGACTCTTTCTCTCTCCTATTTTTTTGTAACCCATCTCAAATGCTTACTCTTTGTGTTCGGCCAGAAAAGGGCGGACCTTTTCAAGCGAGACCGAAACTCGACTCTGACATTCCATTTCTGCTCTCTTCCGAAGGCTCACATTCAGAGGAACTTTTTTTCTAGCCATGACTGGTGTCGCCTGCTCTGCCTTCTGGAGCCTCATCCAGGTCCCACCTCCTTCTCCAAAAGTGCGTTTTAGTGTCCGGCCCCCTTTTGGCTGCCCCACCATCCCATTCCTGCTTATTGCATTTTGAGAAAGAGCATCCAGGACAAGAGAGCCTCTGAATATATTTTTGGGTGTATGTGGTGCAAAGACCACGTTTTTGGGAGACGAGATTTTTGTGCTCTCGGTCTCTTTTTCTTTTTACCTTTGAGTGGGTGAATTGGCTGTATCTGGAGGTTATCATTTCTTGGAAATTCAGAATACTGGTTCATTCCCTTTTCTTCTTCTTGTTCTCTTTCATTTTTTCCTTTTTTTTCCGAGCACTCATGTCAGATTTATGATGGGAAGTCGGTTTTCATAAACTCGATTACGGTAGAGAAGGACTCAACTCGTCACAAGTAATATGAAGTGAAGAAGTTCATTCGATCAGACATTCAAAAAAACAAGTATCGCCTCTTTTTTCTGGCCAAGAAGTTATCTTCTTGATATTCTCCGTGAGTGTCTATCAAAATGAACCACTTCACTTCTGTGCCCCTCCAATAAAGAAAAAAACACACGAAGAATGTGCCAAAAGTTTTTTCTTTCCTCTGAGGAGGGGTGTTGCACTCTCTTTTTTGACTGTGTGTCTTCCTACTATCTTTCCTTCCTGCTCGCTTTTCGGTAGATGTCATCAATAATTCTGTCCAAACATGCTTTAAACTCATTGTTCTTCTTCTCCTTATCCCCTCGTCGCTCGGTGCCGCCAAAAAAGCGTCACGTTCCACTTTTTTCAAACCGAATGGCTTCAGTTTTTGGCATCATACACTATTTCAAACGTCCAGTGGTTAAGACTCGGTTAAGAACCTAGGTCTTTGTCTTGTGCTGCTCCGTTTTCACTTCGTTTTGTTTCATTTATAATGCGGACATATTACATCTCCCTCTTTTGCCCTTTTATAGCCTGCACTCTCTTCTGTTCAACATCACTTTTCCCCAGAGCAAATGATACTTTCTAGGAAATGAGAAATAAATTTAGATTCTGTCTCGTCGATGAACTTAAACTCAATATTTCAGGGTATCTGACCCCACAAGACAGCGACACGGACAGCGGAATAAGTGCCGATTGTGATCAAGGGTCGCCGAGGGCAGGATCAGTGTTTGGAACGCCGGTCAACGGAGTGGTCAACGGACAACAAGTCACTACACAACGCAGAATTCCTGGTAAAACGTTTAATTGAAAACTACTCAAACGTTATTGATCTTTTTAAGACCTCCCACAGCCATCCTATCAAAACTTTCGGAGTCAATCTTCGGCTGACTATTTGACTCCAAATTCGGCTCGTAAAATTGCTGGATACGGTACTACGCCACGTCGCTTGCCGCTGCAGCCACAACAGCAATCAGTACCACCGGCTGGCAAGACAAAGTATCGAGTCCGATTTGCTGATGAAGTCGATAGTGGGGCATCGACGTCCAGCGGAGCCTCCTCCACACACATCTCACCAAGGAATGATCCACAGGAAATGCTTATGAATTCAGGTGAGATCGAAAAGAACAAAAGTGGAATGTTGAGGATTCAAAATTTTTGCTAAAACTGTGAAAAAGCAGAGATTTATTAACCTAATCTGAGAAGAAAGAAGTTAATAATTTGGTAAATCGTAACTTTTTTTATTAGAGTGTTTACAGAATTTTTGATGAAATTTTGATTCAAGAGTACAAAAAACACGGAAAAAAAAGAAAATTTCTTAAAACGTTTGGATGATTGAAAACTTCTACTTTAACTTCTAATAAATTGAGAATAATCGGTCGCTAAATTTCCGAAAATTTTGTAGTTTTTTGTAGTTTAGAGCCAGTACCTCGAACTTCGAAAATTTTACCAAAAATTTCTGAAATGTCAAAAAACTCGGTTTCATCACTCATTTTTTAATGTGAAAATTTGTGGGAAAATATCGGGAAACTTTTTTTAGTTCCACTTTTTTGGTTGGATGAAACAGCAATTCTCAATTTTCGATACTGTTTGTTCTACGACTGGCTGGGGCACCTACGGCGCGAGTTTGTCGCTTCGCTCCTCACTTTTTGAAAAATATTTATTATTGTTCTTTAGATCTGCGAACTTCAAGTTGAAAAAAACCAAGTTTGGTCTGTAGGATTTTCCCTCTATTAAAATTCCCTTCTTGGGAAACGGAATGAAAAACAGAGAAGAAGACAAACACCATTTCATTTATTTTTTATAAGAATGATAAAGGGTCTTTCTAGGCTTTTTGGTACAGGTTCTAATCATTAAATTACTTTTTTTTTTGAACTGAAACATTTTGCTAGTTCAGCTGAATTCCAATATACGTACAAATCAAAATTCGTCCCAAAGTTGGACACTACACGGCCTCCCACAAAACATTTCCGAACTGAAAATAAAATTTTTGATATACCGAAAAAAATTGGGCGCGATCACAATTGCAAGTCTAAAGCCATATTTTCAGCATTTTTTATCTGATTTTGTGGAGATTCAAGACGATTCTAATGCTTCTAAAAAATTAATTAATGGTTATAGAATCCTGTATGGTCCTTTTCCGGTAAAAAATAATTTTTAATTCGTCTGACAGAACTTTTTTATAATCAAATAACAACGCAAAAATGCGATTTCGTGCAATTTCGTGAGGTTTTTTTTAATATAAAAAAGTTCTGTCAGACGAATTAAAAATTCATCCATAAAAAATGAAGAGTAAATTATTGCGGTTCTTTTGAGCTACAAAATTCCAAAATATGTCGAAAACTGAAAGAGGAGATACATTTTTTCTGTGTCAAACCTTGAAAATCGGTCATTTTTCGAATATTTTCTTTCGGAAAAGGACCATACAGGATTCTATAGCCACTAACTAATGAAAATATGGCTTTAGGCTTGTAATAGTGTTTGCGCCAAATTTTTTTCGGTAGATCAAACATTTTATTTTCAGTTCGGAAATATTTTGTGGGACCCCGTGCACTACCTTTCAAATTTTTCCAAACATATTGAGTTCTAACGGAAACGATTAATAATCTCGCATTTTTTAATCTAACAAAATACTCATTTCCAAACATACTAGCAATTTTTTCACACATACACAATACTAGATTTTTTTTCTTCTTCTCGTTTCATAACTCGCTGTCGAGACCCCCCCCCGACGACATTTTTTTAAAGGAAATAACAAATTTATCCGGCTCGGTTTTCAGCTGTCGGAGTTTCTCAAATCAGCACAGCATTCCAACAGCCGACGGGTCACATTCAAAATTCGACTGATTCTCCTTTGAAAGTCAAACAGAACGAGTTCGCTCCGACTGTGAATCGAGGATCTCCGCTGTCCCACCAACGAACAGGAACACTCCGTGAGTTAATTGGTTTTCCTCATTGCGTTTCCTGCACCCGAATGTCTAGAAAATTATTTGAAATCTCCTATCAGATTTGATTTGACTTGGGAGACAACTGTATATAAACGGACATTTTGTTTAGGTTTCGATTTTCGTGCTAGAGAGGAATAGTTGAGATTTTTCTCTTTTTTCTTTAAATGACATGCAAAGCCGAAAGACCCTAAAAAAAGATAGCGGGGTGAACTAAAAATATGAGATGCGAGTAGACGGAAAAAAACACGCGTGTTGCTTACTGAAAAACTGAATGAACATGTGGTTTGTTTGTTTGCTAGGAAGTCTGAAAAAATGGCAACATTCAGTTTCAAATTGATGGGGGCCTGAATCTGAAATATCCTTTTTTCCAGAACGCACTCCAAACCGTCGTCTTCCGATCAGTTCTACTCCACAGCCTCAACCGACCTATGCGGATCAGCTGGAAGCTTTAGAGCCACCATCATACACACTTGCCATGCAGAGATTACGGTTTCAAAATCTTCAAATTTTGATCAACGCAATAACTTGAATTTTCCAGAAATGTTCCTCAGCAACCTCAAGAATCATTCCGTGACGCTTTTATCAGGAAGAGTGTCAACGATACACTCCAACGCCGCTATCGCCAACGCAGCTCGTCGTTGCCACGTGGAACCAAGTCATACTACGAGGGCATTGATTACTATGATGTTCAACAACCACAGCCGCCAGTATCAGTCCGCCCACAAACTTCTCTTCATCATTCCCCACTAATGACTTCAGTTAATCAGCTTCCTGGAAGTTTGGATAATCTTCATATCACAGTGAGAATTAAAAGAAAACGACAAAAAACGTAGAACTACAAACCTTCAGAATCTCAACATGGGTATGAGACGACGAAAATTACCAACTGCGCCATTGATGGGATCATCTTGCCAATTGCACTTAGAAAACTCGGATGAGCTCACTGCATACAGAGCTCTTCAGTTCCAAATGATGCAGGAGGAGTTGCAGAGGTTAGTATCACTTACTTCATTTTTATTATTTCGTTCCGATTTCGCAATTCTAAAAAACACCAGTGCGCACATCCCCTCTTCTAATGAGCACCATTTGTTTTCAGACAACCCCCACCCCAGCCATCATTTGAGCGGCAGCCAACGCTTTTGCGTCGCACCAACTTGGTGGCCGCTCCTCCACAGAATTTCAACATTCCACATATCACAACTACCGGACCACCACCGATGGGCCTTTCTATGCCAGTACAATACGATCAAGGAGAGTACGGGTAAGAAAATTGAGTATAAAAATCACATATAAAAGTTTGACGATTTCCTACAGAACCCAAAGTGTGCGCGCTCAATTGGTGGCACTAGATCAAAGAGGTTTCCGGCGAGTATTGGTTGAGAAAATGATGCCGGGCCCATTCGGATTCTATATCGCTACCGGTGTTGTGGCTGGGCAGCGTGGTTAGTTTCTTATAGTAATTTTCCGGTCTACCATATCTCTACTGAGACGCCTATTCTCAAATACCTCTAATTTTTTATCTAAGTGTTTCTCACAAAATGGGAGAAACAAGAATAAATTCTTACTGAAATGGTCAGGAAAAAAAACTTGAGCGGATATCTAGTTAAATTTTTCTTAAAAGCGCTAGAGCGACCTACCGTAGTTTTTTTTTTCAACGATGTTCATCTTTTTTCAATAAATTGCATTCTCAGATAACGTTTATGTTGAAAATTTTTCAGCCGGCATTTTCATCTCTCGAGTCTCCCTCCCATCGCTATCACCGATGCTGACAGTCGGAGACGAAATCATCTACGTTGATGAGGAATATGTCAAAGGGCGATGCCTGGAATATGTGCAGTCGGTAATTGCAGGAAAAACCAGCGTCACAATCACCCTTTTGCCAGCAGTTGGCCAACCAGCAATGTGCTGAGTGTTTTCTTCTAAAGAAAAAGTACTGAATTTTAATAATCATTTGTTTTGTATCAATGTTAAGATGTTCCCTAAATCCCACAGCATTCAGAGTAAATTATAATAGAATACATGTTCTTGTAACAGTCTAGATTACCGTTCTAACCCTTTCCCGGACCCACAACCCCACATTGTGATAAATCCTTTGATGAATAATAAAGTTAAATACTCAATTCAGCGGGATTAAAGCAAGAAAGCATTTTACAAGAATGCGAGGATTTTGAACTACATTCGAAATCAGGCAAACAAAAATAAAAAGGAAAAATGAGAAAGTTGAATTTAACAAACTTGTAATGGGGGGTATTCAGCTAGATAA